GAGCCCCTCCCCCATGTGGCATGCTAAGTCCCTCACTCGTTCATGTATTTTGTGGAGTCCATTCCCCAGCCATCCTCTGAGCCCCTGGCTGCACGGGGGCGTGTCCTCAAGCTTGTTGCTGCCCCGCCAGCCTCTTCCTGGCATGGTCTTCTTTCTGGTCTGCAGTCCTCAAGTTCCCGGAGGGGAGGGCCTATGGCTGGGCCATCTCTGAGATCTCCTCCTTGGAGGGGAAAGTTATGCCCCCGGTGGGACACTCCCCAGGGGTGGGCCCAGGCCAGAGGTGGAGACAGGGCCTGCCCTGGGGCTTCTCCCACTGATGGGGCAGTGGCTGTGCTCCTGTAGGGAGCCCTCTGAGAGGACCCAGCTCCTAGGACAGACAGGTGGACGTCGGAGAGACAGTGCCCTTTTTTCCTAGGCCTGCCCCTTCTTACTGCCCTGGAGGAGGGTCTCCTCGAGGGGCCTTAGCCTCTGCCCAGGACTCTTTCATGACCAGGGGGCTGAGGCCCCTCACAGGTAGCTGCTTCCTACTCTCTCCTTAAACCCCGTCTGGAGACATCCCTGGCTCCCTCACTATTCCTAACCCTGGGTCCCGTGTCTCTCGGCTGGAAGCTGTCAGCAGGTGCCCCCTTCTCCTCCTTGTCCAAGCTTGGTGCCCAAGGGCACTAGACTCATGTCCCCCTGGGCCCTGGCTGCTGACTTTGACTGTCCCGCTAACTTAGGTCCCACGCGTGGCGGGAGGAGACCACACCGAGCCCCTGTGTGACTAGTCATTTGCCCACGAGGCAGCCAAGGCCTCCAGCCAGGACAGGAGGGCCTTCCGCCATCCTCCCCTGCCTCCGCCCAGCTTTGCACGTTTCCCCACTTGGCAGCTTCAGGACGTCCTTGTTGAGGTCAGGAAGGCCCTCCTGGCCAGGGGACCGCTTGAGCAAAGGCGGGGCCTTCAGATGGTGGTGGGAGTGTCATGGTTGCCTCTGTCAGGTGCAGTGTGTTGGAGTGAGATGTGGCACGGGGAAGATCGAGGTCCCATCGCGAGAGGCCTCGATGTTGGCCGAGGAAAGGCCTCCTCCCGCTCAGGACCTTGGATAGAAACCAGAGCTCTGAGGAGTGGACAGCATGTGCTGCTTGGTGGATGGGTGGAGTGGGGGCCGGGCTGTGGGGATGGGCTCTGTGTGATGCTGGCTTCTTGCTCACTTTGGGCGCAGGCAGGCACCGCCCTGGTGGGCAGGGAGGGGATTTCAAGCTCCTGTCACACCCCCTAACATGGGAGCCTGTGTCGGGGGGCCTGACAGAGGCTGGACCTGTGGCTGCCTGCAGGAGGGATGGGCATATCAGGATCCGAGTGGTGAGTAACCACCAGCTGCCGGGGAGTGTGTATTGTTACATGTTTCCAGAAACAGGCCCATGTGTACCAGGCCTGGAGGCTGGAGCTCTTGGCCATGGGTGGGCTGGCGGGGCTGGGGTGGGCTGGGAAGGGCAGGGGGGTGGCAGAGGGGCTGGCAGCCTCACCTGGTTGGAATCCGGGGCTCCCCTGTGTCCCTGGATGCTGTCAGAGCTCACTGGATGGCAGTGGTCTTGGGGAGGGAGGGGCGACCTGGGCACAGGCGGTTGTGTAACCTGTCTTTTGTCTTGAGTTTCCACCTTTGTTGTGGTGCCATGATGTCATAACCCAGCACCTCATTCAGTACTGACTTTTTTCTTGCTTTCAGGAGAAAAAAGGTTTGTATTGTGTTCTCTAACCTCTTTTTCTAGGAAGGTGGGGACACCATCACCCAGTGTTTTTTTGCCCTGTCAGGAGTTTGTCCTCCTTGGCCTGGGAGCTGCCTCTCTTGTCTGTAAATGGGGATAAAGCCCCTTCTGGCTGGACGGGGGCAGGGGACCCAGTTAGACCAGTGCCCCGCCGTCCACTGTGTCCAGACGCACTGTTGTACTGGCAGCCCCACTGCTCTACGTGTGTGTGAGTGTGCAGGCGTGTCACCGTGGATAAGTGTGTGCACCTTGCTGGGCGTCTGGGCTCCCCACTGTAGGGCAGGGCTGGTTGTTTGGTGGCGAATTCTGTTCGACCTTAGCCGAGAGGTCGTCCCGTTGCCCCTCCACCTGCACAGGCCTGGCTGGAAAGAGTGGCTCTCCTGGCAGGTCCTGTGCTGCAGGGATGGGAGGGGTCATCGTCCATCCCATCGCCCAGGGCAGCCCCTACCAAGCAGGTTTGCCCTGGAGGTTCAGCCTGTAAGACCCCCCGAGGGTGGGCTGGGCGAGGGGCCAGTGCTGGGCGTGGCATCCCCACCATGACCCCAAGGCTCTGCTCCAGGGGAGCTCATGCCAAGGGGTTCGGGAACCCCCAGAAGAGTGTCATCTGGGAACAGAGGGGATTTTAGGAATCAGAGGCCCTTGGAGATTGTGTCTCATTGCCCCTGAAACTCCCCTCCCCTCTAACCACACCCCCCATTTGATGATAGGAAAACGGCCCTGAAGACCAGACAGCTGCTAGCCAGGGTCACCCAGCAAGTTGGAGTCAGGGCCGCTAAGGGGGTCTTGGGGTGCTTGGAGATGAGCCCCTGACCTCGACCCACGCGGCTTGCCCATGGCTTCTTGGAGTTGCTGCCAGTGGGTGGACAGACAGACAGGTAGTGTGCCCTTGGCTCCTGGGGCCTCAGTGATGGTGGCTGTTTGTGGGCGTCGTTCCTGGGTCCGTGACTGCAGGTGTGCAGGGCGTGGCGGGGATGGAGGGGCCCAGGGTGAGAGGGCGGAGGCCACCGGGGAGGACCCCAGTCCCGGCTCTGTTCTTGACCCCTTCTCAGCCAGCATCAGGTCAACTGCCCTCTCTGGGCCTCGGTTTCCCAAGTTTCTCCTGAATAAGCTGCCTGAGAAGTCCACGCATGGGGGGCGGTGGAGGGCAGGGACTCCGAGTGTGACTTCCTTTGTGACAGGAGCTCCGATGGCTCGGAGCGACGGAGGAGAGGAGGCTGGGAGAGGGGGTGCAGCCGGTCAGCAGGGGGCCAGGGGGACGGTGAGAAGCCCGGAGGTGTAGCCGAGCCCCCGGCTTTGAACCTGGGGATCCTGACCATGATCTCGCGGTGCTGCCGTCGGGGGTAGATGCCTCAGACAGACGGGTGGGTGGTGAGCGACAGTCGGTCGCTCCTGGGGACCAGTGAGGGCACCGGGCATAACGCCGGGTGGGGCCGGAGAGGGCACGGAACTCTGGGGGATCCGTGAGGGACACGACTTTCCTTAGGGGTGGGGAGGGGCAGGCCTGTGAGGGGGTAGGGAGTCAGGCCCCTGCAGAGCCCCTGACTTTTGAACCTGAGATCTGCTTGGTGGTCTCATGGTGCCACTGTCAGGGGCAGATTCTGTGCCCCAGAGGGCAGACTTAAGGCCCATGCCATGGTGTGTGAGGGCCCACGTGCATGGACATCCGTGTTGGAGCCCCCCCAAGTGGAGGTTCTAGGTCCCCCGCAAGGAGTGGTCCCATGTGGAGGGGTGGCGGATCTGGGAGGTCCAAGGCCGCTGCCGGATGGGTGGGCCCTGAGGCCAGGCAGAGGGACCCTCGGTCAGCATGGACTGGGCTGTGGGCTGAGTGAGCCCTGAGTGCCTGAGTGCCCGGTCACCGCTGTCCTCCCTCCCCGGGACGCCCTCTGCCTTCCCAGGGCAGTGCACCCTCAGAACAGCTTTTCTGCCACTTTTAGGATGGTGGGACCTTGGCCTTCTCCACTAGGGGTGGTGGTGGGGGAATTGCTGAAGCCGAGGTTCCTTGGTTCAAAGACCCTCTGAGTTAGGGGGGCAGGGCACAGCCCGCCCACCCCCATTTCTCGTGTGGGACGAATTGGGACTTGGATTTCTGGGGTCCCTGATCCGGACCCTCCGGAAGAGGCAGCTCCCCGTGTTGCCCTCCTCCCCCGCCCCCCCCCCCCCCCACACCCACCCCCCCGCCCCCCCACACCCCCAGCTTGCGTGCCAGGCGCCTGGTGGGCGTGGTCCAGGGGGAGCCCCACCCCGCCCCTCCCCCACTCCACCTGCCGGCCCTCCACCCCGCCTGTCCCCACCCTCCACCTTCAGAACAAGCCACAGAGTCAGATCATCTTTTAACTCTACTTTATTTTGGGGGTGGGAGGCGGTGAGGAGCGCAGGCGTGGCAGAGAGCGGTGGCCTGGTAGGAGCATTCTCAGCTACTTGGCTTCTCGGGCCTCTCTCAGTCTCTCTTGGAGCCCCTCCCCTTGTCTCGGGCCTCAGGCCCCTGTGCTGTCAGTGTTGGGGTGGGGAGGGAGCCCCCCCGGGTGAGGTCACCCCGTCAGTGTCCTGGACGGTCGCAGGGACGCCTGAGGCTGCGAAACCGGTGAGTACTGGCACGGCAGGCCCCTCTGTAGCAGCACCATCCAGGTGAGAGCCAGAGCTCAGGGTCAGACAGTCAATGTCGAGGGCACTGGACCAGACGGGGGCGCGGGTGCAGCTTGGCAGGGAGGTGGGGCGGGGGAGGCCCCCCAGCACCCCACGAGGCGTGGGAGGTCGGGGTCGGGGTCGGGGGCGCGGGGGCACCGCTGGTGGAGGTAGATGTCAGTGAAGCAGCCGAGGTCAGTGTCCCAGGGTGGCCCAAGGTGGCCACTCGTCGCTCCAGGGGGGGGCGGTCCCTGGCCTCTGCTTGCTTGGCTGCGTCTGCTGTGCTGGTTCTTCACCCAGCCTTGGGTCATGGGGTCATCTCCTGCTCATCACTGCTGTCTCCCCTCGTTGATCTCACGCCCAGTTGCAGGCCTGGGACCTGGAGAATTAAGACGGAGTTGGGTAGCCCTGAGCCGACTCTGGGTCTCTGATGGTTGGACGGTCCACTGGGTAGCCTGTTGGCACGGATACTGTTGCTGGTCGATGAGTCGATTGTTTGCCCTTCTCAAGTGTTTCCCCCTTGGGTCAGGAGCGGCAGGAAGGGGGCCTGGGGTCCGAGCGAAGCCGGCTGAGGCACGGGGAGGCTGGAGGGAGGGTCTGTGGGGTGGCGGGGCGGAGGAGAGGAGGCGTTTTCAGTCGAGGTCCGCGTCCTGCTCTTCTCCGGGCAGCTCCTCCAGCGTTGCTCCTTCCCCGGGGGGGCTCACCCTGACGAGGGTGGATGTAGACTGGGTGTAGATGGCGGTCAGGAAGTGGGTCAGGGCCCTGGCTGCCAGCTGCCTGTTGATCGCGATGGACCCCCGTCGGGCGCTGCGGATATAGAGCAGGCGGCGGACGTCGGTGTCGCTGGGGAGGTGCTGGCGGGGCCCGAGGGCGCCCGAGGCGTCGGGGCTCAGGCTCTCCTGCACGTCGTTCTCCTGCTCGTCCTGCGAGGTGTCTTGCAGGCCGTCATGCAGGCCACACTGACGGTAACGTTGCAGGTCGTCTTGCAGGGCTTCTCGCAAGACGACACCCTCATCGTCGACGACGTGCAGCTCCAGGTAGCGGTTCGGGCGCGGGTGGGGGTGGGTCCCCTCACGGGGGGTGACTCTGACGGCGAAGAGCTCGCACAGCATCTGCCAGAACTCGGGCGTGAGTCGCAGGCCCAGCAGGGCGTCGCGCCGCCACTGGCCAGGGCCCAGGAACAGCTCGGCCGGTTCCTCGGCTGGGATGGCGTTGGCGCCCGTGAGCGGGGGCATCTGGGTGAACAGCTGGGTGACGGCGGGGGCGATGCCGCTGCCAGCGATGAGGGACGAGTCCAGCAGCAGGCACAGAGAGCGCCGCAGCGGCGGCCGGGCGGTGTCCGAGGTGGGTGCGGGCGGCAGGGCGAGGGGCGTCCTGAACCTCAGCAGCACAAGGAGGGCGGCCACGGCCAGGAGGTTCTTCCAGAACAGGAGGCCTCGGAAGAAGTGCAGAATGACTGCCCTGATCTGGGCCATGCTGAAATGGGCAAGGAAGCTGTTGAGTATTTGGTCTGCTGGTATCAGAGCCAGGAGCTCCTGCCGGAGGTGCTGCCCATTCGGCTCGTCCTGATGAAGGGCATCTTCATTCTCCTCTTCGTCCCCCGATTCTGGGGACTGAGCCCTGGGGGACCCTCCCGTAGCAAAAAGCATCCTTGGCCGAGTGGCAGCACGCTGCTGGAAGGCTCTTCTCCGGAGACATTTCCGCATGGGCGGCGGGGGCCGGCCACCCTTTTGTTCTGGCCGCTCCATGACGTCAAAGTGGAAGTGGGAGAAGAAGAAGACCCAATGCCCGGGGAGAAGTACGGTGAGCCTGTCATTATTCAGAGAGGCCAGATCCTCTGTGTTGAGAAGGATCATGATAGGCTCCTCGGTGTTCTCCAGGTAGCGACACCACACCACGAAGGCAGCCCGTACTGGAAGGGTCTTCATCTCCGCTGGCGAGGCCTCCACCTCGATTGGGGAGATGTTTCGAGAATAGAAAGCGCAGCAGACTCGCTTGCCGGTTTGGTCGTCGACTTGGATCAGGGAGGCGTGCAGGGCCGTCTTGGTGACGCCCGTTTCCAAGTAGAACGGGTTCTGGGGCTTGGGGTGGTGGAGGAGGGGCGCCTTGCGGAAAGCCCACTTCAGGCACTCGAAGGCCTCCTGTTCCTCGTGCCCCCAGCAGAAGGGCCGGTCGCTCAGTAGCTGGCGCACCAGGGGCTCCGTGATGACGGCGAAGCGCTCCACGAAGTGCCGGTACGGGAAGGCGAATTCGATGAGGTTTCGCAGGGACTTCTTAGAGCCAGGGATGGGGTACCCTGTTATGGTGGTCACGATGCTCTTGTTGAGTTTCACCCCTTTGGGGGTCATGACGAATCCCAGGAATTCGGCAGTGTGTCGGTGGAACTGGCTCCTGTCCAGGGAGCAGTAGACGTGGTGGTAGCGGAAGCGGGCCAGCACCTGGCGGACGTGGTGGAGGTGCTCCTCCTGGCTCATTGAGTAGACCAGGACGTGCTGCCCGTATGAGAGGACAAAGAAACCGAGCATGTCCTTTAGGATAAAGTGAATCACGCCCTGAGGGATGATAGGGTCTGCGCAGATCAGGAAGGGCCGGTAGCTCGTCATCTCTTGAAGCTCCAAACCGAACGCTGCTTTCCACACATCTTCCGTTTGGTGTATGTTCATGCTTTCCTCCACGATGGTGCCGCGCAGCTCCAGCTTTGTGAACCACGTGGCTCCGTGTAACTGGTCAAACAGTTCTGGAATCATCTGTACGTAGTCGTGTCTGCTGGTCAGCATGTCCTGCGGGTCCCAGTATTCCTCCCGCCTGGCCCTTTCTTGCATCCCGGCTCCCACAGGTTCCCACGGCGCGGTGGAGGGACACTCGTGATAGGTCTCGCTGTGATCACTGTCTCCAGCCTGCTGAAGCTCAGAGGGCTCTGATTCAGAAAGATCATCGGATCCGTCTGAGCTTGGCTGGTCGGAAGTCTCCTCTTCTGCTTCCTTCGGGTTAAACACGTCGGCCAGGTCGGAGTACAGGGGCGGCAGTCCGGGCAGCAAGCTTATGGCATGTCTTTCCAGAGCGATGCATGGTGGGGGCGGGCGGAAGCAGTTCTTCAGGCAGTAGGGAGAGTGGAAGGTGCAGCGGCCTTTGACCCAGTCGACCTCTGGGGCGTGGACTCGGAGCCAGTCGATGCCTAGTATCACGGAGAAGTTGGGAGACGGAATGATGTCGAATTGCAGGGACTCGTGGTGGCTCTGGTGGATGCACACCAGGGGTTCGGTGTAGAGCCAGACGGGCTCGTGGCCGACCAGCGAGCCGTCCACGGACGGGACCGACCGCGGGCAGGGCTTCTTGTAGAGCTCGACGTAGTGTTCTTGGGCGAACCTCTCATCCATGAAGTTGCCGCCCACCCCCGAGTCGACCAGGGCCTGAACCGCCACGCTGTGGTAGGGGTTCACCCTCACCATGAGCAGCAGGAACAGGTGGTCGCGGTTGATGGCGGGGTGGGCCTCGCAGGGCAGCCAGCTGCTCACCACCCACCTCTCCGGAGCAGGCGAGTCGATCCAGGTCAGGTTCCGCGGGCGGGCCTCCGGGGGCAGCCTGAGCATCGCCCTTCTCTCTGCCAGCTTCTCTTCTATCTGCAGGACCAGCAGAATCAGACTGTCCAGCGAATCCGGCTGAGGGACGCGGAACAAATAGTGCCTGATCTCCTCCTTGAGCCCCTGGCACAGGTGGGCCTGCAGGACTTCGTCTGGCCAGCCCAGGGTGGGCACCAGGCCCTGGAACTCGTTGATGTATTCGATGGCGGCGCGATCCCCCTGCCTGAGGTTGAACATGGCCTCTTCCGCCACCCGCAGGGCCTGGCGGTACTGGAACGTATCGGACATGGCCTCCAGGAAGGCTGGGAAGTCGTCAATCAGGGGGCTTTCTCTCTCCACCAGATCTTTGGCCCACTCCAAGGCCAGGCCCGAGAGGTGGCCGATGACGTAGCCCACCCGCAGGCGGTCATCGTAGAGCATTCTGGGGCAGCTCTGTAAGATCAGCTGGCAGAGCACGATGAACTCGTGGTATTCTCTGCGATCGCCCGAGAATTTGCCTGGGATCGGCAGCTGGCCGGCGCTGATCCCTTTCGTCAAGATCTCTTCCGCCACCCTCTGCTGCTCTCTGAGGTCCTGCACCCGGAAGTACAGAGAGATGATGGACCTCACCATGCCCGTGATTTCTGCGGTCATGCTGTCCGCCGGCTCCTCGGGATGCGCCTCTTTCCACCCAGCCAGGTCAGTGTAGTTGTCTTGCTCTTCCTGGGCTCCCCCTGGGTTGACTGATGCCTCTTCCATTCTGCCAGGTGCCCCACCAAAGGAACCCCCCACTTCCAGATGTGAACCATCGCGTGACTCCTCCAGGTCTTGGAGTAGGTCATTGGGTGGATCCTTTATTTCCCTATGTGGGCCACTGGATGGCTCCTCCATGTCTTGGAGGAGATCAATGGGCAGCTCTTCCATTTCCCGGGCCAGGCCACTGGCCAGCCCTGCCGCCGCTGCCGCCGCCTCCACTCTGCTCCCTGGTGTCTCCACGGTGGTGTTGGATGAGCCCTCGGAGGACTCCATTTGTTTTGATGATGGATTCTTACGCTCCATCATCGTCTCAAATGAGTCTTCAGAGGGTTCTATCATTTCGTCGGATGGGAAGGAGTTTTCTCTGAAGACTGGTAAGGTTGTGACGCGTCCGGTCAGTGACTGGGATGGCAGAGGTCAGAACCTGGGGGTGGGGAGGGGGTGCGAGGAAAGGCAGTGGTTTAGGGTCTCACGAGGTCAGGGTCTCCAGGACAAATCAGATGCCCAACTTGGCAGAGCAGAGAGAAGCTGGGGAAAGCCTCCCTGGGTCCAACTTGGGGCATCCCATGGAGAGAAAAATCTGCAAACCCCTGACCTTCCCGCCTACTCTCCCAGGCTTACTCTGCCTGTCTGGCCTGACTACTCCCCCGTGGCTGTAAGAAATTCACAGCCCATAAATTCTGTGGAGTTGATGGGCCCGGAGTGGCCGCCGTGGCAGGCAGGCACCTGGCAGGGTGCGTTAGCTGCTTCATTTCAACCCTGGCACACAGGCCTGGTCAGCCTCCCTTCCCTTCCTTGGTCACCAGAGAGTCACAGAGGTCACATCTCAGTGCCGTCCAAAGCCGCCCCTGGCAGGCTGGGCCCCCTCGCTTCTGAGGTGTGGATCTCCAGCAGAGATGCCTACTGTTTAACAAGTCCAGGGCAAGAGGAGAACATGGGCACTTGGCTGCTATCCCGTCGGTTGGCTCAGACGCCCAAAATAGCTCTTCTTTCCTCTCCCAGGTTCGAAGCAGACATCGGGGGCAGGCAGAAGTAGTGATCTGGATTCTAGCTTTTCTTTTTTCTCCAGAAATGTTTATAAAACACCTACTGTGTGCCAGAGACTTGTGCATTTGTGACTTGATTCTGACTCGGAGTTTTTGCTGATTTCCTGTCTTTCACCAACTTCCAGTGCAGCATTCTCCCTAGCTCTGAGCTGTCGAGGAGACCTGCAAATCATTTGCCCACCCCTCCTAAAACCTGCACTCTCCCGAGATTGCCCTCGCTGTCTGTGGGGGCTGAGGAACGTCAAACATTTGGCCTCCATTCCGCTTGCGCAAAAATCTTCGTATGCCCCTGCAATCTCTTTGCTCTAGCAGATGCCCCTTCTCCGTTGCTGGCTGGTTTCCCCGCCAGCATCACGGTATATCTAGTAGAGCTGGGATGTTCAGTAAGGGGTCGGGGTGTGCGGAGGGCATCAGATAACTTTGACATCTGAGTGACTCAGGATGGATTTTTGAAAATCTGATCATGGGTGGTTTTAGTGGGCCAAGGCTGAATTTACAGAGATGTTTTGGTTGGGGTTATTTGTACCCTTCTGTGCTGGGCCAGAGCGGATTGAGTTCTGGCTCTCCAATCAATTAGCTCTACAGTTACCGCTCTTTATGCATTTAACGCTTTTTGTTGCTTCCCAGTTTTCTTTTTAGCCACCGGGCCAATCTATTAGAAAAAAAATGCATTCCCTTGTGTAAAACTCCTCATTGGCTAAAATCCAGACTTTCCAACACGATACGAAATTCTGATCTGCCGTTTCTCAAAATTAAATACATTCTTGTTAGCATGACAGTTAAATTTGATCCTGCAGTCCCTCTGATTAAAACCTTTCGCTGTTTATTTGCTGTCTACGATATTAAATCCAAACCTGTTAGCATAAACATTCCTGACACGTAAACTCACCGAAATCTTTTTCTGGCTAAAATTTAAGGCCTTAGAATAATAGAAAATTCTGATCATGTCATTCCCTCAAGGCAGAGATTACATTTTTTTAGGTAAAATCATCACCATCACCATCGTCTCCGTTATGAGACTATGTATATAGCACATTGCATAAATTAACTCATTTCCTCTTCATAAAAGTCCTGTTAACTGTGTATTATTATAAAATTCCAAGTCTCTAATTGAAATACAAAATTTGACACAGTAATTCACCTGCAGACTCATCTATTAGAAATAAAAATCTCAGTATGTCTCTTAAAACCCTTAAAACACTTTAGTGGCTAAAATTTAAAAATTGAAAATTTAAATTGGCTAAAATTTGAATTTTAAAATAAAAATTTAAATTGGCGAACATTTAAAATTTAGAACATAAAATCTCCGTATGTCACCGACAACCCTTAAAACCCTTTATTGGCTAAAATTTTAAATTGACTGAAATTTGAAATATAAAATCTCAGTATGTCTTTAAAAACCCTTAGAGTGCTTTACTGGCCAAAATTGAAAACTAAAAAAATTAAATTGGCTAAAATTTGAATTTTAAAATTAAAAATTTTAAATTGGCTGAAATTTAAAATATAAAATCTCAGTAGGTCTCTTACTACCCTTAAAATCCTTTATTGGCTAAAATTTACAATTGAAAAATTGAAATTGGCTAAAATGGAAAATACACAATCTCAGTTATGTCTCTTAAAACCTTTAATTAGCTAAAATCTGAACACCTTAGCAAGATGATTTCAAAACTAGATTATCCCCTTCTTAATATAAAGTTTACACTCTTGGGACTTCTCTGGGGGGTCCAACGGTTAAGACTCTGCGCTCCCAATGCAGGGGGTCCGGGGTTTGATCGCTGGTCAGGGAACTAGGTCCTGCATATGCTGCAGCTAGGGGCCCGCATGTCACAACTGAAAGATTCCGCACACCCCAACTAAAGATCCTGCGTGCTACAACGAAGACCTGGCGCTCAGTTTAAATAAATAAATAGAGAAATAAATAAATAAAAAGCCGAGACTCTCAACATATTTATAAATTTGATGAGGTACCTGACTAAATCCTTCAGCTTTCTCGACTTCACCCTACAACCTGATATCCTTGGCGTGTTGTGAAAACTTGCTCTTGCTACTCTTTCACATCAACGTTTAAACTTTTAGCAAGAGGCATAAAAGTTATCCATAACTTCTCTATTTAAAGCTTACAAAACTTTCTTTTCATTGCCTATCATATGAAGTCCCAATCACTTAGCATAAAATTAAAATTTTTATCATGTAATTTATCTGCAAACTCATGGATATAAAACCCCACATCTCACCAGGTCACTTCTTAAACTTGTTATTGGCTTCATTCCAAACCTCTAAATTAGGCATGATATCAAAATTTGACCATGTCATGAAAGGTCACATTTCCTTGCCAGATGCGTGAATTTGGTCTTGTAACTTCTGCTTCAAATCTTACAATGTCTCTAGTCACCTGTGAGATAGGATCTAAACTCCTTAGCAGAAAATACGCATTCTACTATACAATTTCTCTGCACACTGCTCTTATCAAACACAGAAACTTTTCTTAAAACCTCTTTAATGGCTGACATCCAGATTCCTTAGCCCGACACAAAAAAGTGATCCTGTTGTTCCTCAAAATAGTGTCCAAACTTCTTAGCATGCCGTGCAAATTCAATCATATAACCTCTGTATAAGCGTAAAGTCCTGCCCTGCCTCTATATTACTTGCCATAAATGCTCCAATCCCTCAGCATAAAGTACAGACAGCGTGCGCTTGTACCAAGGGGTGCCTCCCCTGAGCTGTCGATGTGCCTTCATTGTCTGGTTCATCAAATCCAGACACCTTAGCATAAAATATATTTTACCAGCTAATTCCCCTGGAGAAAAAAGTCTCATCAGTCATTCCTAAAGACCCTTCACTGGCTAAAATCCAAATGCCTCTGCATGAGGGTTCAAAAATGAGCTCATATCCCTCCCCCGAATGAGACGCTTGAATGCCTTCAACTCTCACATAAAATCACATCTCCTTGGCATGTTATAAAAATCTGATCATATTGTCTTTACCATAAAAATCCACTCTCGTAGCTCTGCTGAAATGTGTACGTTTGATCGTGTAACTCCCCAGTTTAAAACTTTTCAAGGTTTCTTCATAGCCTGTAACATAAAGTCCCAACTACTCATTGTAAAATACAGCGTTTTGCCATGTAATTTATCCTCGGACTGGTCTATAAAAACATCCCCACATCTCACCCCGTCATTCTTTGAAACCCTTTATTGGCTTAAATCCAAACTTATTAGCATGATATAAAAATTTGATCTTGTCATCCCTTAAAATAAAATTCGCGCTTTCTAGCACGGTCGATAAAGTTTGATCTTGTCACTGCACTTAAAATCTCACAGTGTCTCTTGATTGTGGAATTATGGAAAAGAAATCCAAAATCTTAGCATCATATGTGAATTATTTTGTAATGTCACTGCATACTCTTTATCTAATACAACAAAGCTCATCATGTCAGGGCCTCAAAATAAATTCCACGTTTCTGTGCGTGTTCCCAATGTCGATCATGTAACTCCTCTGATCAAAGCCTTTCAGCCTTACTGTCAGCACCAACCAGATCTCCTTGGTGTGCTCTTAAAGTCAGACTTTGGCACCCTTCAACATGTAAAGTCCAGATGTTTTAGCATGATACTTAAATGTGTGCCTCTTACTTTTCTCTGTACAATTTTCCAATGTTCCCTCATTGCCTGTAATATAAAGTCCAAAGCCTTAAAACATATTTGATGTTTTTTTGCAGACTTACCTCCCACAAGCAAAAATCTCCCCATCACATTTCTTCAAACCCACTGGCAAGAATCCAAACTCCTTAGCATGATTATAAAGGTTTGACCCTGTCACTTCTCAAAATAAAGTCCAAATTTCTTCCCCCCAAACCCCAAATCTATTCATGAAACCCCCCACTTAAAATCTTTTTAATGAATTTTCATCACTAACAAAATGTCTCCCTGTCTTAGCATGGCTCCCAAATTTAATCATGGTTTCCTCAGTTTAAAACCCTCCACATGCATGTCCATAACATACAATCCAATTGCCTGAGCATGAAATGCAAATTGGACCAAGTGTTGGTTATACTGAAAAGTCTTCACATTGTTCTTTATTACTTAGGGTGTAAAGCCTAAATTTGCACAAAACCAACATTTTGCACCATCTACGATTCTTAGCTTCAGTTTCTTATTCCTTTCACCCTTCACTCCTCAAAGACTGGGTTTCTTACTTCTTGCCCCCCAAACACATCTTGATTTCATTGTCCCAGGTCCTTTTATTTTTTAAAACTCATCTCTCTACCTGTGATTCATTAATTCATGCAGCATGTCCTGATTCTTTTTTTCCGGACCAGGCATTACGCTAGATCTCCAAGATAAAGGAATGGAGGCAACCTTGCAGAACGTCACCAGCAAAGAGATGAGAACCACACCCCTGTGTTCAATACTGTGCCGGAGGTGAGCTCGGGGTCCTGGAGGGGCAGGGCGGGGGTTTCCCTGTACTCCTGCGAGCGCCCCCTTGAAGCTCCACTGGGCTCAGCTGTTTGCCCCTTTGCAAGGGCTTCGGGCATCGTCGGAGACCCACGTACCGCTTTGGACAACCACTATGGGCTTCCTTCTGACTCCTGTCCTCCACGGGCCCACCCACCGCAGCCCCATGCAGCCCAGGGGCTGCCCCTGCCTCTCCTCTGGGCTCTCCGGAAGTAGAATTCGCAGTCCTACGAATGAAGCTGGATACAGGTTGAAGTCTCAAACTTCACAAAAATTTCTTTCAGAAATGTCTACTGATTTGGAAATTCTTAACCTTACCAAAAAAAAAAAAAAAAAAAAAAAAAAAAACCCTCCAAAATCCAGGATGATTTAGTGCACCTGGTTTGGGTTCTTTGGGTTGGACCCTCTTTCTTGCCCTCCCGACCCTCATACACAGACAGCCCAGCCTCACCACCTTCAGTGCCTGGAGCCTTCTCGGTCAGGTCAGCTCCTCGCTCGCCTCTGAGCAAGTGGCCCATTGGGTCAGGGCTGCCAACGTGTGTCTATGAAGGGTTGGGTGCGGGGAGCCGGGGGGGCGCCAATCCCTCAGCGAATACCTCTCCCCGTCAGCTCACTTGCACAGTAAAGGAAATCTGATTTTAAAAATAGAGCTTGGAAGAGGAGCTGAGAGGATGTTTAGGAGCGGGGTTGAGCCTGGGGCGGGGGGCGGAGGTGGAGGAATTAGGGGAGAGGTTAGGACAGGGGAGGGGGGCGGAGGCCCAAGTTGCTGGGGAGAAGGTAGGACAGCGAGAAAGAGGAGGGGTGAGGGGGGAAGGGGAAGGAGGGCTTCTCGTGTTCCCCTTTTCCGGCCTCCCAGACGCTGGCTGTCACACCTGGAGCCCCCTGGCTTTCGAGGCCGTCAGGTGGGCACCAGGGCTGTTGTCAGGTGAAGACCCCTCTCTGCCTTGCGCCGCCTCAAGGCTGTGCTCAGAACCAGTTGGGTTCGAGGGACACAACTGCCGGGTCTTGGGGGCTCGGTCGTCTGGAAATGAGTGTCTTTCATGTGCTGCTCCCTGCACAGCCCCAGTCTTGCTGGTGGCATGGATGGAATGGGGCATCACGATGCGGGTGGGCGCACAGGGGCGCTGGGAGGGCCACAGGCTGTCGTTAGTTATTCTGTTAAACTAATGTCAAGGTCAAGTTGTGCCCTTAGCAGGCTGAGGCTGGGGGTCCTTCTTGATTCCCCTGGTGTGGACCAGTGGCGTGGTCCCTCTCCGCATTCAGCTTGCTAGTTGGGAGCAGAGGAGAAGGGTGGTGGGACTTCTGAGGGTGGCTCCCTGAGGGTCCCAAGAGTAGCTGGGGTTGGGTCCCGGGTCCCAGTGGACCATGGGAACTTCAGGGGCTGCTGGCCTGGCAGAGCTCAAGTTGGGGGTCCCTCCCTTCCGAGACCCTGCCTTGGCACTCAACTCCCTGACTTGTGCTAAAGACCACTTGGGCCTTACAGATAGGAGACCCTTCTCACCCTGGCCCAGAACAGCTAGTCTCTGTTAACTCCCCTTTCTTCCCCTGGGGCCTGGACAGAGGTCCTTGACTGTCAGGCCGCACCGGGCCTCAGACATAACTGGGGACACTAGAAGGGGGAAACGGTGACTCAGGAAGACAGCGAGTTATGGCAGAGCTGGGGCTGTCCCCTGGGCTTCACCTCCACCTCCATCCTGGGCTAGGTGGAGGTCTCCTGGAGAGGGTTCCTGCAGCCCCTCGCCTCCCCAGGCCGTCGAGGTGAAGGGCAGTGCCCCTGACCCAGCAGTGTTCCCTCCGATGCAGAGTGCCTGTCCTGCCACCGCTTGACTGACAGCTCCGGGGGCAGCTGGATCCCTCTGCCCAGAATAACCCGGGGAGGGGGAGAGTGCCACCTGCGGGCGGGGCCGGGAGAGGGTCACGGGGAGAGTGGCCTCCTTCTTTGGGCTGCCCCAATCGGCTGGGCCAATCAGTTGGTCCTGAGGCTGCTCTTGCCTTTCAAGGCAAGTGGGCAGGGGAAGGAGCCCGTACCAGCTGCCAGCCTGGGGCCCACGCTGACTTGCAGCCTGCCCTTCTCCCCCTGGGCCCTCAGTTTCCCCACATCTGCAGGGAGGCTTGGGCTGTGGTCTTCTCACTTGGCTCCTGTAGTTCTGGGGTCCTGAGAGGAGCTCGAGGGGTGACCCTGGCAGGCGGAAGGTAGCTCCACCAGCCACTCTTACAAACTGGGGGCTCTCGTACTAGTTCCACAGTTGGGGACACAGGCTGGGTGGCTTCTTTCAGTGTTGGTCCAGGTTTGACAGCTGGGCTGGGAGGGGTCTCGGTGGATTTTTCTGCATCTCTGGTGGGCTCCCTCTGTGCCTGGTGTGCTGTGGCTTCAGGCCTAGGAGCATGGGGTCTGGGGGCGTGCAGGGCATCTTGGGCTGGAGTGGGAGGCCGAGGCTGGCCTCAGTCTCCCCATTTACATAATGGAAGGAGCACGGCCTTCCCAGGGGAGGTGGGCGCAGCAAGCCCTTTGTAAACTGTGAAATGCTACCAACGAGTCGGGGCCTGTTATTTTCATTAGGACTCTTACGATTATTACTTTTAGAACACCCGCTATAATTGGAATGGTCAGACAGACTCAGACAGTGTTTTCACGCATGGTGTCAACTTTAATTTTCCCATTAACCCTGAGAGGTGATGACGCCCTGCCTTGCAAGTGAGTGAACCAGAGTCCAGAGGGTGGAGCGGTTTGCCCAGGAGCCGTAATTAGCGGGGACGAAGGCTCTCGGATCCAGGTCATTGAACGGCCCCAGCAATAAGCCGCCCGTGACTGGAGCGACTGAGGGAGGGGGGGCGGGGGGGCGGTGTAGGGTGCAGAGGCATGTGTCCTCCAGATGGGGGTAATTAGCGCTTATTTATTAAAATGGGTGTTTCCCGAGTGTCTGCTCTGTGTCAGGCACGACCCTGGGCACGGGGCCCCTAATACTGACTTTGTTCCTTATCGGGTGGGCGTGTTCTGGTCTCACAGCTTTAACCGGGATTCAGAGAGCTCGGATCAGGAAGGAGGAGGCAGAGGCAGTGTTCACAGCCAGGCTTAGGCTTTCTTCCCTGCACTGGCGGACTGAGGGGCAGGAGCCGATGCCCTGGGTGCAGTGGGCAGTGGCCATTTGGGGCCCCTGAGGACTGGAGGGGCCACTTGCGTTTCATGGCCCGACGGGAGCCCAGACCAAAGGAATGGGGACCTCGGTGTCTCCCCTCCGTCTCCTCGAAAATCTCACTCACGCGGTCATCCCCGACTCATTTTGGCTGATTTGGTCGTGGGCAGAGGGACAGGACAGCTGGCCCAGGACCTGCTAATTATAGCCGCTCAAGTATTTGAGCAGAGCTATGGAGTCCTCCATGTCATGGTTTTTTCTTGCAGGCAAGCAAACCCTTTAACCTCTCTTCCTGAGCGCTGGCCCAGGCCCCGTTCATTGCCCAGGCCCCCCAGGGGGAGGTCAGCATGAGGTCCCCACCCCAAGTCTTACCTTTGATGCAAGCGATCAGTGGCTCTGCTCCTGTCCCGTCAACTGGAACTTCGCTTCTTTCTAGAAAGTTATTGGATAAATGGGTTTCTTTAAGTATGAAAGCCTAGGTTTGGGAGGTGCATGCGCTCTCCACAGTAGCAACCACAGTCCACTCACAGCCTCTGTCCTGCTTTTTTCATGGGACTGTATCACGTCATGTGATACAGTGCCCCCATCGCTACGTTTGGGTCCCTCCATGATATTTCTTGAGTACTTACTATGTGCCAGGCACTGTTTTCATTCCTCTAATCCTCAGAATACCCTGTCAAGGTGTTAGTTATTATCCCCATTTTGCAGAAGAGGAGCCTGAGGCCCAGAGACAAACCTCAGAGCCTATGGGTCGATCTCACTTCTGTAACTGGGACTGACCCAGGCCGCACATCTCATCGGTCTCAGGGCCCGCATGTCAACCCAGCTAAGGTCCACACTGGCGGCACTTGGGTCCTGCCTTTGCTCTGTGACACCTCAGCTCTCGGCAAGCCCCCTGTTCTTGCTGGACCCCTGTAGTGTTTTGTTCTGCCCCTGATGTCAGTCTGCACTGCCTACTCCTTGCTTCACCCCTCCCCCTTAGCACACAGCAGAGTAGGGCCGCCGGCAGCAGGCGAGGCCCGGGGCAGCGGCTCAGAGAGGTGGCCTGCGCCTCTGCCAGGGGACCTGGTGGGCATTTTCTCTTCTCCCCTCCCAGGTGGCAGAGAGGTGAGATGGCGGCTTTCTCCAGGAAGGGAGTAGATGCCTGACCCAGGATCGAATAGAAAGGTCTGAAAAATGATATTTTTTAATCCCTGATTTGTACATTTGAACAATTTGTAAATGTGTAGAGTCCTCAGGAGGGAACTAACTCAAGCCCTTTGTTCTGCAGCTGAGGCTCACTGCCCCCGGTGGGCAGTGAGTCGGTGCGTTCCCGAGGCCAGGGTGTGGCCCAGCCCTGGCCCCCAGGATGGCACACTTGCCCAGAGGAGTGTGAGGCCCTCCTAGGCTGACCTTGAAGCAGACCAGGTACGTATGCCCTGCTCTGTCACACTGACAGCCTCTTTGGGAGGTAGGGCCCTCAAAGACTGGGGGCCCTATATTAAGATAGTAATATAATTAAAAATCCAGGACGACACTGTTACTCTTGTCTGTCCGTTATACATCCCCCCAGGGAGGTGTTAAAATCTCTCACCGTAATACAGAGGGATGCCTACAGCTGGGGTGTCTGTGATGGGGGCTTAAGGGGTCTGCTCGGGGGGCAGAGAGGGTGGGCTGCCCTGGGAGGAGGTGGGTGGCCTTGGACTATAATTCCCCTCGCCTGCTCTGGTAGGATGGGGACAGCCATCTTCAAGTGTCGCCTTGATGCTTTTAATGAAGTCAAATATAAAATGCCTGGCACATAGTAGGTGCTCAGCATATGCAAAAATGGTTCTTCTTTCAGGTGGATCTGTCCCCTAACTGTCCCTTTGAAAGCCCTTCTCATTTTTGTAGAGTCCAGAGGGGAACAGGGAGGGTTAGACAGGTCAGCGTTGGGTACAGAGGGCCTTTTCTTGAGTCAACCCTGTAACTTTATTGGCGTTGTGGGATTTATGTAGCCTTTCTGAGGAACGAACGTCTGCAGGTGGAATTACCTCGGTCCGGAGGCAGATACAGGTAACCTGGGTACTGCTGTATTTTATTTTTATTTATCATAAAAATCTTTTGTAGCTGCAAAACTATGACAAGCATCTCAAAGCATTCACCAGGACCAAACCCTGTCTGAGATAAAACACCATGTAATAAATAGTGGAGGCTCACGTGCGGGAAAGGTGATTAAGCGCCGGCAGAGGGCTGGCTAACCTGTACTCACATTTCTTCCGCCCAAAGTCGTGGTTGAAAATAAGTGTCTGCCTGGCAGAGGGGAGAGAACTCAGAAGGTCCTGCCTGTGTTAGCTTAGGGAGGGGGAGACATTAACCAGCTAACTAGTCAGTCCATCTGTGCACAGGGAGGCCAGGACAAAACCTGATTTCAGGCTGCTTTGGGTTTCAAGTTGGCTTAGTTTTGTGTTCTTGGGCTCGCCGAGCCTTGATGTCTTGATCTGCGGATAAAGGGTCTTCCCAGTCGCACACTTAGTTTGTGCCTGCGACAGCTGGAGGGGACCTGGGGAGCCGGGTCTGAAGCTTACTGTGCAAGCAGGGGTTGGGGTGCCTGGGGGACAGAAGGGGTTCTGATGGGAAGTCGGGGTGCGGTGTGCTACCCGGGACGTGAAGGGGGGCAGGCAAGGACCTGCAAGTTTGCACCCCATTCTCAGGGAGCTGACATGTTAGCCACACCCCCTGTTGGTTAGAACTAGGGCGTGGGCAATGTGACAGCTGTGGGTTCCGCCCGGCTGGGAGGCTGCCGGTGCACGTGGGCCACAGGGCTGCTGCTCCCCAGAGGATCCCGTGTACCCTTCGCCCAGGACTGTCTTGTGTCACATTCTCCTGAGTCCTCATTCTAATTAGCTAATCCCTGAGAACACGGACCAGGGCATTAGCTTTAGGGCCTCTTAAAGACCAGAAAGGAAAGTCCTCCCCGATGGGTGCCTTGCAGACACCCGCCCCGTGGCTCTGGAGGGTTTTGGGGCCTGTGGGTGGAGCAGTCACAGCCAGCAGGCACACACCTGCTGGCCTCATGTCACTGACACGCCACTTGGAGGCCCAGGGCTCCAGTTTTAGAACATAGAAAATTCTGAAAAGAATGATCTGGGAGATACAATAAATCCCTCATGTCTGCAGACCTTGTCTGGGGGAGATATGCTCACTCCTGATCCAACAGTCAAAATGCTCTTCCTTTTGTATTTGTTGAAAAAGAAAAAGCTAAAAGCTAACAGAAACCCCACACACAAACACAGCAAAGCAAAACAAAACCCACACACAAAATGTTTATTTTAATTATGCAAGAAATGCATTGATAATTAATACACTCATTACGGAAAATCAAACACTGCGGATAAAAGCTAAAGCCATCGTCAACTCCTTCCTCCATCCCAGTAGCAGCCCCCCCCCCCCCCCCCCCCCCCCGCAATCACCACCATTTTAACTCCTGTTTTCAGAGTCAGGTGTCTGGTTCCAGACTTTTTTTTTTTTTCCCTGTGCATTTGCATATGTATCTAAATAGACCTCTCCAATATATGATTTTTTTTTTAACGTAAACTATATCACCATGTACATTTCTTTTTGCACAGCTTGTTTCTCTTCACTCAAGAATGTGCTTGGAGATCATAAAAGATAAACACCATTCCTTATAACAACACCTTAGTAGCCTGTAATCTGTACACACTGAAGTTGAGTTCACCACCTTGTTGCTGTCACTAAAGCTCCGGGTCCTTCCCCGGCGGGGCTGGCTTGTGGAAGCAGGTGTAAGTAATTGCCAAGGTCTGGATTTGAGGAGTGGGCTCACAAGTGTTTATGACATTATTACAAATGAATATATGAATGCATAAATTAGCAAAATAAAAGCAGGACATGCCTGGACCAATGATGAGAAAGTGTTTGTGAACAAAGGATCGTGATTAATCCAGTTCTGCGCAGAATACTGAGGTCCATTAAAAGACAATAGGTCTCGGCTGTTTCATTCTTTTTAAGAGCTGTTTAATATTCCGGGGTGTGTTTGCACCATTGTTGATTAGAGCTTCCTCTATTGTTGAAAATCCCAGCTGTAAGTCTGCTGGGGTAGGCCAGTGTGAGCCTATAGATGCTTTGGTCAAAGTCCTAGTCATCGGGGTGGGTCACGGGTCCATGTGTGCTCGTTATATTATTTAAGAAAATAAATAAGAAAGATAACATAAAATAAAAGAGGTCCTGGCATAGATAAATGAGGAGAGCATGTCACGAACCGAGGTTTTAATTAATATGATTTTGCTGAACTGACGCCTGCTAAAAAAGATCTAAGCCGTCCTGTTTTATTTTTGTTGTTGTTATTGCTAACGACCCTGCAGTGAGCATTCTTGTAGCTGAATCTGTAAACACGTCCCTGACTGTTCTTTTAGTCCGGCTTCTTAGAGGTGGGATAGCTAGATTAAATGGTTTGCAGCAAAGTTTATTTTCACTGAGTGATCTTTGTAACATGCCGTTTTGACCTTGTCGCTGTCTTGCTTTAAATCCTCCATCTGACTTCCCGGAGTGTCTGGGACGTGGTCCAAGAGCCTTAGCCTGGCATGTAAGACCCTTCAGGGTCTGGCTGGAAGCTCCCCAGCCTCGTGCCCCCTCCCCATGCACACACACACACACACACACACACGCACGCACACATATGTGTGCTAGGCACACGGCAGCCCCTACCAGCTACCCTCTCCTCTCTGTGCATGCCCTGCCTTTTACCCTTCAGGGCTCCGGCCAAGCCGTCCCAGCCAGCTTCCCCTCGGAGCTTAAGACAAGGCTTGAAATGTTCGCTAGGGTGAACCCAAATTTAGAGGCACCGCTGCCCCCCAACACCTCATGCTAAAGTTCAGCAAAGCATAGTCTGTGGAATCGTGATGACTCATTGACACATTTGCCTCGTCTAGGAGAATGTTTTACATTTTTCTCGAATTCGTGAAACTGGCCACATGTTAATCACCCCCTTTCCTTTGTCCCTTTCCAGTGCCCTTGGCTCCCATGTCGCCTGGATCCAACTTCCCCTAACTGAAAACCGCCTCATATTCCCCCGGGCTCATGGGCAGCTTCAGAGGACTGAGCTGTATGCTCTGTGGCGCTGGGTGAGTCCTCAGAACGCCGTCACACTGCAGATGCATACCCGGGAGGCCAGGCTGGCATCCCCACCGCCCCGGGCCGCTCTGTCCCACCCTCCTGGGTGCGCACGCCAGGCTCCCCCAGGCCCTGGAACCCTGTGTCCTGGGGTGCATGGGCTGGGGTGCTACGTCTCAGGGGTGGAGTGCCAGTGATGGGTTTTCAGAACATAATTATATCCTGGAAACGGTCGATTGCATCTTCTGTGACCTGCTCCTTGCCAGAGAGAAAAGGGGGTTCTGGAACATGAGAGGGAGCATGATGTAGCATGTGACAGCAGGGCCACCAGCTGGGGTGATGGTGATGCCCTGGGGAGGGGACAAGGTTAAGAGTGGTGCTTCTACCTTTGAGACATGGTCATGTTCTAGAAAGAGCACAGGCTTCCGGGTAGAGGGGCCGTGACGCCAAGTCTGCAGCACCCTTGGGGCAGAGGACTTCAGCTGCTTATTGGAAAGCACAGGCGCACCAGCGTGTTCAGGGTTTTGGTCCCCTCTGTTTCCCTGGGGTTGGGGATGGGTAGGAAGCACCCCAGGAGGGCGGCCATCTCGAGCACAAACCTGGCTACAGGGCAGACATAGAGCTGTGTGTCTTTGGCAAATCTCCCAAGAATTTCTGTGCCTCGGTTTCCTGATATTAAAAGAAGGAATCATAATCGCCCACACAGCGTATTGAGCGGCTGAGTGAGACAATAGCACAATTAAATCACGCTGCACAGTAGCCGGTATGCAGTACCCAGCAAAACTCAGCAGCCTTTCCCATCTCATCCTGTCCGAAGTCCTTAACCCTCCGTCCAGAGACACAGGCAGCTCCTTTTCAGGGCAGAGAGACCCACAGGGGAAGACACAAAGGCCAAGAGGGCGAGTGACCTGGGGGGAACGGCTCTGCTCCTGTCGCCCCAGTGCAGACACCCTCCCAAGGGAGACGCGGGCCTTTCCTCGAAACCTGGGGGGCTGGGGAAGGGGCTGCCCCCCACCAGCTTTAATTGGGTTCTCCTAAAAAGTTTGGTGATAGTTTATTTTATTTTTTTATAAATATATATAAAATGTCAGACTGCTCTTCAGGCAGATTTTTTTAGGCTTGTATTTTATAGACTTTGGCAAGGGCAGTTCGGAAGAAACAGTGGTTACAGTCTAGAGAGGTTAATAATTCCTGGAAAAACTTCTAGCTAAACCTGACTTCTCCTAAATTTCACAGAAACTGCTCCCTGGGCCAGGCCCAGCCCAAATGAGGTTTTTGTGCGTCAGTGCAGCCTTACCTAGTGGGAGCATGACTTGCCTTTTACACAAAAGTGAACTTCCTCGGCCACCAAGCACAAAGACCCCTCTCTCCTATATTTTCAGTTTATTTACTCTGGAGCATGGGCTTGGTCAGACACACGTCTCACACCAGGGTGTTTCTCTGTGCTGTTCGTGGAGCTGTCCGTGCCTCTAGCATGGAGCCCCGTCCATCCCTAATGTCCTCGTGCCTGGGTGAGGCTCTGTTTGTGTCTGGGGCAAAAGGAACCATTAGTGGGAATCCCCTCTCTAGCCGGGCTGCCCCATGGCCTCTGCCCCGTTAGAGATTTGGGCAGGTGACTTTTCAAATCCACACCAAAGCTCTTTTGAACCCTTTGCTGCTACCCGGATCAGGATCCGGTATTTGCAAAATTTCGCACGTGCGTGATTTCTTCTGCCGCATCCCCCCTCCCCCGCCCCACCTCCATGTGATGCCGCAGAGGCTGTGACGCACTTGTAAATACTTTACCAAACATTGTCACATCGACAGTTTCAAAGCCATCTTTTAATTGATTGAAACAACAGCAACGACGGAAAACAGCCGACACCCCCCCGACACACCCCCACCCCAGGCTCTGAGAAAGCAAACAGTTTCTCCCAGGGCTGCTCCCAGCTCCTGAGCCGGGCACGGCGGGGCAGTCTGTCTGTCTGTCTGCGGAGCCAGCCCGCACTCTCCACCTGCAGCACGATGCTGCCCCCCCCCGGCGGGTCAGAGCAGCTGTCGGGACCCCGAGGCTGGCAGGACTGGGACAGTTAGGCAGTTGTGACAAGGTTGCCATCCCTGGGTACCTGGGTGCCTTTGTCGTCTTACCCGAATCTTTCTGCCCTGTGGAGGTGCATCCCTGCCCCCAAGGCTGAGCGAGGGCAGCCCGGTCATTTCAGACAAGGAACCCGGGCTGGTCCCTCAGCCAGCCTGTCTCTCTCTCTCTGTCTGTCTCTCTCTCTCTCTCTCTCTCTCTCTCTCTCTCACACACACACACACACACACACACACACACACACCACACACACACACACACACACACACGTGTGTGCGCGCGCGCGCTCAGTGCCTGCGCTGGGAACAAAGACAAGAAAACTCCTTTAGAAACTGCAGAACAGAGCCTCGTCTAGTGCAGGTCCCCTGATAAAGGCCCCATCCACCCAGAGTTCCTGGGAACTGAGCCCCCATGAATGGCCCTGGAGGGCCAGCGCCCGACATCAGCGTGGGCCGCATTCATCAACATGCAGGCCCCTCGGCCCCGGCACCGGGTGAGGGGGCTTTCACGAGTCCCCAGAGCATCCAAGTTACGGTCCAGCAGCCGGCCGAATCCGGGGCTGCGGCCCAGCCTCCAGAAAAGGGCCCTGGTTTTCCCATGACCGGGCCAGCCCCTCTACTCACCAGACCCCCATTACTTCTGTCCTCCCCACCCCAGCCAGAAAGGCTCCCCCCAGCCCTGTGCACCAGCCTGTTGCCCCAGAGAGGACCCGGGCCAGCCTTTCCGGGCCTGGGAGCGGGGCGGGTGCTTGGCCGCTCCAGGTGGGCTGGCCCTTGAGACGGGGAGTTGGCCGCAGGACAGCTCCCCCCTCCCCCGTCCGCCCCGCACTCACCCCCATTCTCCGCTCCTCTCCCCTCACTGCCTCATCGACACAGAAGCGCTCCACCGGCCATCTCGGTGCCTTTGCCACTGAGCTCGGAGCAAGGGGCATGGGAGAGTCTGCCCATCCTTGCTCTGACCCCAGCCTGCCTTCTCCGTGGCCAGAGCCCTGCTCGGGACCTACTGCTGCAGGAGCGTCTCGAAGGCCTAGACGTGTGGGCTGCCAGCCCGGGCAGGGAGCCGTGCTGCAGCCTCCTGGCCAAGTACCGGCCTGCCTCTCTCTGCTCGGATGCCTCCCGTAACAGGGAGCTCCCTCTCTCCCCAAGCAGCCCGCTTGGGGCTCGCACACCGAGCTGCTTTGCCGAGCCCTCCTGCTTTCTGCGTCTGCCTCTGCGGCTCCGACGCAGCCCCCTCGCCCCCTCTGCCCTCGTCTCTTTGCAGGCAGCAAGCTCCTTCTCAGTCCTCTCTTTTCCGTGCTCGGTAGCGAGCCCTCCATCCACCGTGGGATCAGGCTTGGGGTCCCCTGGCCCCGTCCGATCTCGGCCGTCTACACCTGTCCCGGGGCGCCTCTGCCCCTGCCCGCCCGCATCAGGGACGGAGCCCTTTGCCCTGCTGTTCTGCACAGAGCCCAGGGGAGGGCGCAGGTCTCCCCTCCCGGGTCCAGCTGCTCTGTAGCTATCTGTTAAGTGGCTTCTGAGCCCTCTCGGCTTTTTATGGCCCCTTTGCCAGTTGCCAGGGAGAACGCTCTCTATGCAAACCCCCTGCCTTTTCCGCAGGAGCCACTGGCGGCCGGGCCGGCCCTGGTCAGCCCGCAGCGGCGGCAACAGTGGCGGCAGGCGCCCGCGGCGGGGTTGGGGGCTCCCAGGCTCCGCTCCCCGCTCTCTAGCTGGGAGACCACACGATTCCCCTTTCTTTTCAGAGCCTCGGTTTTTCCTCTGTGAAGTGGAGATGAGAGGGGCCCCCACACCGGCTCGAAGGGAGGCTAACTGAGATAAGAGTAGCCCAACACACATCAGAGAGTTCATCAGTGCTCGTGGGGTAGACGGTGGGACCTGGAGAGGACGCACGCGTGTAACAAGTGTCGCAGGAAAGAAGACAGTCTGGCCTTTGGAGACTCTGCTCCGAATACAAACAGGAACCTCACCAGGCAGAGACCCCTCTGCCGGCTCCATCGCACAAATCAAGTCAGCCAGAGGAAGCCTCTGGCCTGTGAGCTCACAGTAGATGCAGAAGGCGGCAGAAAAGACGTGCAAGCCCACATCTGCCTTTAATAGAGCAAGAATTCGCACTTCTACAGCAGCACGAGGGGACCCTGGGGTAAGGCAGAAAGGAACATTTTTCCCGGCTGCTCCCTAGAAGGGTCAGCTTAGACGGCGGCGTCTGGGGAAGAGAAGCCCAGTGGAGTCCAGGCACCCCACAGACTGTGGGGTGCAGTCATCCTTCTGGGCACTCATTCTCCAAACCAACGCAGAGCACCTACCTTCCTGGGCCCAGACCCGACTGGAAGGCTGGACACGGAGCAGTGCCGATCGGCCGGCTTCTTGTCCTCGAAGCTCAGTCTGGGGTGGGGGGAAAGAGACAGGGAATAAGTCACTGTAAATCAAGTGATGAAGGGGGGATGAAGCAGCTGAGATCACGGAGTCCTGTGTTCTAGGGGACAAGCCCTGAGCCGGGCTGTCTACCTAGGACTTACCCCAGCAGGAACTCTGAGCACCAGCCTCAAAAATCCCCATTTGATTGATGAAGAAACTGAGGCAGGGAAAGACAGAGCCCCATACTCACTGTCTCTCAGCTGGTGTGAGGCCGGGCTGGGATGGAACCCCAGTCCCTCCGAGGCTCCCCACCACACCCTACTGCTGTAGACAGCTCAGCGAGGCTGTGCTGAGTGCTGGGGGGGTGTGGGTGGGCAGGGGATGGATTGATTAGTTATAAGCACCTCCCAGCAGTGCTTGAGATCCCAGCTCCTCTGTGGCCCAATCCGTTTGAAGGGCAGATTCAAAATTAGGTGGTAGCACCTACGGGCAGAGGCTTATGAAAATGGCATTATTAACCTGATGTGGAGGGGGCCCTGCCCACCTCCAGGCAGCTTGCAGATAGAGGGGGCTGGGGCTTGTCTGTGTGGACAGGGAGTTGGAGGGGAGGGAGCACATCGGGGGGCCCGCCAGGGCTGCCTCCTGGGGAGGACTAGCTTTGGCGAGGACGAGGGCCTGCTGGCTGAGAGGGGCAGCCCTCTCACTCAGAAAAATGCCCGAGCTGGAGCCCCCTCTCCAGGGCAGGATCCCCTGCCCCTTCTCCGACACAGGCTAGGACGATGGGCCCCCTTGCACCTCAGTTTCCCCATCCGTGTGAGATGGAGATGAAAACCATCGTCACTGCAGGGAGAGCTCCGGTCCCACACCTTCCCTCCAGCCCCCTACCATGGTGACAGCCCCCGGACACCTGTCTGCCTGTCGGAGAAGTACTCAACAGGAGAGTTCCAGATCCGGGGGGGAGGGAGGGAGCCACAGGGAGAGACGTGGAAGGGAGAAAGGAGAGGGGGCTGATGTCCCCAACTCAGAGAGGCTGCTCTGCGTTGGGCAGGAGTTGGGCTACTTCAGATTTGTGCCAACTCACGGTGCAGTGGAATCAGACAGTCTGAATTCTTCAGACACCAGCCAAGCGTCTGTGGAGCCCCCAAGTGCCACAAGGGGGCTGCCTGGGCCACATTTTTAAGCCCGGAAAGTGAGGAGGGGGAGACAGACAGTGGGGATCGGCGCTTTTTGCTTTTGCAGCGGCGATTTTGATTTCCATTGCAGCCCCGATACGTGCATGCGTGCGGGGGCCGGGCCCTGCCCTGGGCTGGGGGCAGCCAGGAGGGGGTGGCCCACCCTACCTTGGGGGTGACTGCAGGCTGCGCCCCTCCCTCACCGAGGGCCGAGCTGCAATGCAGCAGGCTGCCGGGAGGGTCCAGGGAGCTGTCCGGTGGCCGGCTTTCCAAAGTGGGAAAGGAAGGCTGCGGGAGGGAGCATTTCCTGGAGGGGCAGAGGGTGGAGTGGCGCCCAGGAAGCAGACTGCGCAGAGGGTCTGGCAGCTGCAGGAGGGCTGGAGAGGGAAGAGGCGGGGGGCAGGGGTGAGGGGCCCCGGGGGTCTGGGGAGATTGGTGTGGACCTGGGCTGGAGCATGAGTCGGTTTCCAGTGATGTGACTGACAGGAAAGAGGGAGGCTTAGGTCGGGCAGAGAGGGCCTGAGGATGGTGAGGCCAGCTTGGCACACAGTTTTAGGACAAAAACCCCCACCTCTCGTCCTCCCAGAACGAGCCAAAAAATAAATAAATAAGTAAATAGAAGCATCTGACAAGCTAGACAGCTGAATCCTTCCCAGCCTGGCTGAGCTGCTCCCAGGGAAGGAGTCTTAGGTGGCCAGCGCTGCCTTGGAGAAGGGAGGCTTCTGCAGGCCCTTTCAGAGCCAGAAGAGGCTGCATGGCGCCAGGGGGACCTGCGGAGTGGGTAGAGGGGCCGGGGAGGGGGCAGCAGGGCCTAGGAAAGGGATCAGCAGGCCCCGGGGGAGACAGGAGGGCCTGGGAAGGGTCTGGAGGGTCTGGGGGGGCAGGATCGTCTGGAAGGTAGGGGCTGGGGTAACAGTTGGGGGCCTTGCTCTGCAGTGCCTTGCACTTTCTCCTTCATCTCCCCAGCTTAGAATGGTTTCCTTCCACTGACCCAGGCCCCTTTCTCGCCCCCTTTCCACTTTGAGGCATTTTTTTTTGCCTTTGGATCGGCTCCCTAACAGCCTCCAGGATTTAGCTGAGACCCTGGGCCCCTTTGCTCTTTGAAAAGGCTTCCCCTCTCCTGCCTCCTCAGCTCCTGCACTTTAGTTTTACACGACGATTTTAAAAACCTTTAATTATGAGAAATTTCAAACAGCACAAAAGTAGAGAAAACGGTACCTATTTTCATCACAATTAACACAGTTTTCATACTGCTGCCGCCGTCAACTCTCAGCCCCTCTCATTCTATCCAAACCTCATACTGTCCTTCTACTACCCCCACCTGCCCCCAGACCGCTCTGAAGCAAATTCCAGACACCGTGCCCTTTCCTCCAGCATTCTTCAGTGTGTATCTCTAAAAAAGAAGGACTCTTTTCTGTTTTGAAAACATAACCACAATGCCATTATCACAGCTAAAGAATTAACAGCATTTTCTTAATGTCATCCAATAACTATTCAGCGTATTCAAATAGGCCCCAGTGGACTCATAAATTTCCTTTACAGTTGGCTTGTTCAGATCAGTGCCCAAATTCTTTCCTGCACTTTCAGGGGGCACTGGGATTATAGAAGGTAAATGCAGTTACAAATCCAGGGCTTTGAATATCTAGTCTCTCTCCTTAAGTGAGTAACTCAACCTCGGCAAACTTTAGTTTTCTCACAGAAAATGGGGCAAATTCTGGGTCTCTGCTAGGGTCCTTTAGAGGATTAGAGATAATGCATATGAAGCCCCCAGCCCTGTATCTAATACATAACAGACACTCAGCAAGCTGTAGCCGCTAGGATTTTTCTTTTTTTCCTGGAGCCTTCTAAAGGGGACTCGGGCTGGGGTAGACAAATCAGAGTTGGCAAATCGTCCACAAAACAAAAGGCTCCTGGCAGGCCAGGCCCCCTGAGTGATTAAGATAGTACGTGCACCGCATCCCAACATGGCAGCCTGCAGCCCAGGGGGCTGGGACCTCCCAGCTGGCTCGCAACTCTGCTGCCCAACCGCAGACAGAAGCTGCTGCAACTGGGGACCCACTGGGGATCCCACAGGCTGCCAATCCGCTAGATGGCAATCTCTGCTGTGAGTCCAGGGGGGACCACTACCCCAACCTGCTCTGGCCACCGCCCAGCTCTGGGTGCCGCAGGGGGTTGCATGCCACTGAAACACCGCAGATAATTTCTGAAAAGCATTTCTCAATATGTCATGCAAGATACAGCAGGTTTCTCTCTGCGTAAACCCCAGCCTGATTGCACACGCAGAGGGAATGAACATTTCGTGATCATTTGCTCAGGTCAGGCACTGGTATGTCCACTCTCTCTTTAAATCCTCGCCCCAGCTACGTCTGATTTCCCTTTCTTTTACAGATGAGAGGACTTTGAGAGGTTAGTGACTTGTCCAAGGTCAGTTAGGAAGCAGGACCCAGGATTCCAATCCAGGTTTGTCTGTTTCCTCCGCATAATGGAAAGGCAGAGGACGGATGTTAGGTCTGTCGGATGGATGGAACCCTGCATCAGGATGCAGTAGAGAGATGGCTGGCTGGCTGATGAAGACTGGTGAGATGGGTGAATGAATGAAAGTGCAGACGGTGGATGGATGGATGAACGGGAGAGAATAGTCAGTTTCTCACCAAGATCGAAGGCTCACTTGATTTGTGGAGAGAGGTTTCCTCTGAGTGGAGCTTGCTGGTGAAGATGTGCTGCCTCTGAGCGCACTCACTGGCTCAGGGGGCTCTGGGACAACAGGTGGGCTGCCAGCTGATAGGGACCAAGTTCCAGTTCTGGAGCTAGAGCTGCTCAGTTGCAGCTCTCAGTCCCAGCTGCTTTCACACTCACTGAGAAACAGAAGACAGCCTCCTTTCCACTGACTCTCCTGGGTGACTAAGCCCTAAGCCCAACCCCATGCTCAGTCTTTCTCTAGTTCCTCGGCATAGTTTTCTGACCTCTAAATCATCAGAACCACCCTCCATGATCGCAGGTACCATCCTCAATCAAAATAAAAGGAAACTGAGGTTTAGAAGTGGTAAGTGCCTTGCCGCACATCGTGTAGGGACCAAGTGCAGAACCAGGATTTGAACCCTAGTCTACTCTTCTAACAAACCCATACCCTTTTCCCATTTGCTTTTCTCTGTGACCGTGCCTGAAAAAGTCTGCACTCCTTGGGGTTCACCCATGTCAGCCTCACCTTCCTGGCCTGTCAGGGAGCTGGCCTTCTACCCCCCAGACTTTAAATTTATTTCTCAAGTAACACCTTCTCTAGTTTATCCTACTTGTAGCTATCACACACGCAGGGATCAAACGTATCACTGACCTCCTGCGGTACAATTATCAAGTTACAACTTAAATTTCTGGTAGCTCAGATTAGGACTGAATGCTCAGAGAAGCGGATGTAGACTCTAGACCCCAGAAGGCTGCAAGGCAAGGAGAGAGGGAGTCAGACAGAGGGCTGAAGGGCAATTCAGCTAGTGTCCCCAAAGACCTGGCTTAAATTCAGATGTGTTTCGATAATCTGCTTATGGGCTAAGCCATGTTACACACATCCAAGATGCTCAGATTTCAATCCCAGCTCTGCCATGTACTAGTTTCGTGAGTTTGGACAAAGTGTTTAATCTCTGTGCCTCAGTTTCCTCAGTTGTAATATGGAAATACCAATAGTACCTTATTAATGGGTACTTGAAGATTAAATGAGTCAAACATTTAAAGTGCTTGAAACAATGTTTCCCATTTGGTGAGATGCAATAAATATTTCATTATAATTAAAATTATAATTGTTATCACTGTTTTCCTTGAGATGGCATATTTAATATCTCTGACTGGTAAGAATCATTACCCACTTTTTACAGACAGCTGAGTAGATGCCCGTAGAGGTGTATGAGACTTTGCCTTTGGAGAGGGGAGTCAGTGAAGTAGAAATATAAATTTAAGACTAGACAATTTCAGTTCTCGTTGTAGAAACAAGAGCTATACGCACCAATTGGACATGATCTGTCTTATAAAAGATTAAGCCCTGGAATAGGTGAAACTCCTCTGAAGGGATTTACTTGAGGGTGTTGAGAGTTTTAATGAGGTTGGATGGGAGTTGAGAAGAAGCTGAGTAGGTGAAGGGCAAGATGAAGAATTACAATTCTCTTGGTTCAACTTCATGGCTTCTAGAAGCAGTGGGCAAGTTTCCCATATATGCTCTGACCAAACTTGTTTCCCTACCTTTTTTTTTTGGGATGGGGGTGGGGGGTAGAAAATAGCCACATTAGACATGTTTCTTGTTTGGTCTTTTGAGGGTGGCCAGTTGGAACAAAGCATAGTTCTTTCTAGTTGAGTCTCACACCATGTGGGGCATGAGGATTGGGTGACCCGCTCCCATTCCTGGGCAGAACATTTGCAACTTAAGCCTAGGTGGCGTGTGACTGTGTGTGAGGGTGGCACCGGGGGTGGGGGGTGAGGACATTTGGACGCCCTAACAGCCAGGTGACAGGAGATGGGTTTAGCATCTCTGCTGACTTGCTGGGCCACGTTGGGCGGATGATCCCAGCATGACCTGATCCCAGAATCCGTGCAAGTCCTGTGGGAACTGACACCACTGCATCTCCTCCAAGGAAGTTTACTTATTCATTCAGGATTATCGGTACATCCTGGAGATGCCCTGTGCCCCTGGGGATGCCTGTGTGGGAGGTGAGACAAGCCCTCCTGTTTGCCCACACATGCATTCACACGCTCACCTTGTAGGCTGAGAGTCAGGTATCAGAGAGCAAGAAATGCCCCAAAAATGAGGCATTGGGGCTAACTGGGGAAGAGACACTGGGGCCAGACTTCCCGCACTGGCTACCTTGCTCAGCATCTTCCTAGCTGTGTGACCACTTGTAAGTCGCTTAACTTCTCTGAGGCTCCATTTCCTCACGTGTAAAATGGGGCTAATCATAGCTTTGCTCAAATATCACCTTCTCAGTGACACTTTCGCCTTCTTGTTGCTTTCTATCACTCCTTTTTTCCGCGTTCTTTTTCTCCATAGTTCTCACCACCATCTTATATCCTGTATGTAGTACTTGTTTAATTTGAATATTGTCTGGTCCTGTCTCCACCCACAAGGAAGTTAGCTCTCAGATTTTGTCTGTTTCATTCATTGCTGTCTCCCCTGGCCTGTACCTGGCACAAAATGCATGCTCAAAACTTTTGGGGGGATAAAAAAGAAAGAGATGCTGTTGAATTGTTCCCATCCCAGAGTATTGCCAGTGCCTGCAAAGTAGGCAGCATGGTGCCCGGTGGAGTGTTCGTTCAGTGAATATTGGCTAATTTTGATTATTATGTCTTCTTCACAGGACTGTTGTGGGGATCAAACAAGATAATGTATGCGAAGGCATGCTGTGAATTCTGCGTGCCCAGGGCAGGAGGTACAGCATTAAAGATCCTCTGCTACTTTGAGGGGACTTACACTTAAACTTTATGCTTTTCATTTTCACACCACCTGGGAGGGAGGGAAGCCTGAGAGATCACTGCCCCCTGAGGCTCAGCACGGGGAAGGGCCTTGCTGGAGGCTCACAGTGGGCTCAAGGCAGAGGCAGGAGCCTGCGCTGGGCTCCCCAGCCTAGGGGTCTTTCTACGTCTCCCTTATGTTAAGTCCCCACTTGGGTATATTTATGTACATATTACATTATATATACATCTACATAATGGAAGTATGTTTTAACTTGTCATTTATTTTTTATTTTTCGTGCCTCAGAGTTGCTCTGAGGCCAGCATGCTGGGCACCCACCAGGACAGTCTGGGAGGGTAGGAGGGAAGCTGGCTGTGTCTTGTCAGTAAGGGTCACAGTTTTTTGGTTTCTGGGAAACAACGTGAACATCAAGAATCTCATGGCATGGACTCCTCCGAAGGCAGCCCCGTTTCATGAAATGAATTTTAGTTTTCCAAAGCACATCCCTTAGTTGGATTTCTGTTTTCCAGGGCACTTGTTTAAGCTTTGATGCCGGGTCCAAAAAGAACAGATCCCAACAATTTCCTGCCCGAGGCCCATCCTTTCCGAAACACTCAGCTTGGCCTGAGCATCGAGATCATTCGTTTCTCTAATCAGATGGGGGGGGCTGTTGGACCCGCAGAGTGGGCGGCGTGGGGCGGGGGAAGGGCAGGGTGAGTGCAGGGTGGGAGCTGCTTGAGGAACGGTCGGTACGCACCCTCACGTTGGACCCTCGAGGCTGTCGCTGTCCTCAGTCGACCAGTCGCACAAGTCGGGGCACAAGGCAGAGAAGCCAGGTCACGTCTCTGCAGTTACACAGCTCACGAGTGCCTGCTGGGGTGGAACCTGGTCTGTCTGTCTGTCTAGCACCACAGCTGCTGCAGAGAAAAGAAAGATTTGGGGGATGGGCTCAGAGCCTGGGCTGGGAGTGGGTGGGTGGGGGTCACCCGGCTGACTTTGGCATGAAAATAATAGCTGATTCTGCTTAAGGACTAGGGCTGTGACTGCAGGTGGGAAAACAGGCACAGAGAGTTTGGTTAACTTTCCTGATGTGGCCCAGCTAGTCAGGATTTGAGGCTGGATTTGAGGCAGGCAGTGTGATGCCAACATATGTGCTTTAACCATTGGCCCACAGTGCCTCATGGCTGTGAGCACAGATTAAGAGGGCACGTGGAGCTCAAGGATCTGGGTTCGAGTCCTTCTACCGCCCCCCTGCTGGGTGTGCTTGTAAGTCAATCATATGTATTTAATTCTCCCTCTTGACAAGGCCCTGCAGAGGCCCAGCCAGCCACTGAACCATGGAAAATATTTTTTAAGAATACGTATGTGATAAAATTTTACATATATGAAAGGGGACGGGGAGGGTACACAGGAGATCTAAGAGGGATTATTTAAGGTAGAGGGCAGCAGGGGACTACGGGGTGGAGAACAGGAGGTGGGGGCAGTGCATGGTTATTGTACGGCTTTTAATAATCAGTAAAATAAGAGAGGCATGTCAGGAGCAGGAATGAGAGTGGGCTGCGAACCAAGGATTGAGATTAATTCTCCACACCCGAGGGATGTGAAAAAAGAGATCAGAGTGGTTTGTGGTCCTTCATTTTATTATTAAAAACTATAAAAGAATAAAGAAATACTGTCATAATGGCCTTGAGTAGCTCAAGGGTGAAAATGTGTTCTGCATAAAAGGTGGTGATGAATCCAGGTCTGCTAACCTGACATTAACGAGCAAAGAAGGTCTGGGCAATTTTCTTCCTTTTCATGGGGATTTGTGTTCCATAGAATGGGCACACTGGGGTTTCTCTGCTGGACAGGATCTTGGCTCTGGGGAAAGACACTGTAGACAGGTATAAGCGGGGATTCATGGGTGCTCGCTGCATAGTTACAAATGAATGAACGCACAGATCCAATTAAAGAGAGCCAAGCTCACACCACTGATGAGAATGTGTTTTCAGACAAGTGTTATGAGCAAGCTAGTTCTACCCAACAGTAGTTATTAAAAATAATAGTACGAACACCCAATAGGTTCTAGGCTGTTGGGACTGTGGGTAGGAAGCATATTAACAGGTAGACAGAACAGTCATTGGTCTTGGGCTGAATGGTGGCTTCAGGTGTTCTTGATATATGGTTAGGAATGAATTAGATGACAATAAAATACATGACAAAATGAAAGACAGCCAAGAGCAGACCACCAAAGATCATGTTTTGTGGCTTACGGCTTAAGGTGAATCCATTTATGGACAATGGTGGAGTACTTGAAACAACGAAACCAAAGCTCTTACCTCTCTGGATAAGGAGCATTGGTCTATAAGGACTAATTGATGTTTTTGTTGTGGGTTAGTGCTGAGCTCCTATGTGGTTACTGTGTTTCAAAAAATAAGTAAAAACACTAAAAAAGACAAGTAGGAAACAAGGATGAGATTATATCTGGAATCAAAGATGATTATTACTTCAATTCTGCACAGCCGAGTCCATTAGGAAGAAGATCTGGGCTGGTTCTTCTGAGTTAGAAGCATAGAGACAGATGCTTGTAATAGCCATTATTCCTGTTTTCGATTAGGGTGGTGAATTCATACATGTTTATTGTAATGAATACAGTTATTAAATGGAGAAATATGTACGATGAGAGCTATGCTTGGGCCAATGAGGAGACTGTGTCATGTGATTTATACTCTGCTGCCCACCCGACGGCCGTTAGAAAATATCTAGGTTGTTTCATGCTTTTGAATACCTGCCTTGTGTTCCACAGAATGGGGGCCCCAGAGTGGGTCTAGTGACCCTCTGTTGATGAAGATCTTGGCTGTGACTTCTGTGGGAAATGAGCCATGGACCAACCGACGTGAATGATGGTTAGTGTTGTTTTACGGTTGGGTGGTTGGTTGATGGGTGTGTATGCGCTATTAAACATGAATGGACACAAATAAAATCAAAGGTGTCCAAGCATAGACCAACGATGAGACTCTGTCATGAACCCGGGTGATGAATCTCCTTTGGCATAACTGTCAGCAAATTAAAAAATAATATAACTGGGCTGTTCTCTGTGTGGTGAATGAGCAGATAAAAACAAATGATTATATATGAATCATTATGTTAATTTTATATATGTATACGTATAATTACATTATACATTAATAATGTATGTTTATATAAATATAATTGTTACTTTTTCTTATTCTTGGGGTGAATGGTATGCCCAGGTATCTTTACTGATTTATTAAAAAGTAAAGGATGCATGCATAAATAAAATCAAAGAGGTCAAGCGTGGACTAATGAAGAAGATGTATCACGACCCAAGACTTATGATTACCCAATTCTGCAAATTTGAGGGACGTTAAAACAACAAAAAATTCTATACTATTTCATGTATTTTAATAGCATTCTACTATTTATACACTACGGTTTATATAAACACTTTCCTGTTGGTGAAGTTTAGACTGTTAACTCAGAGATGCACATAGAAATGAAAAGAATTGGTAGTTTATTATATTTTGGGGAAGATTCATGGGTGTTCTTTTAGGATTTTTTTAAAAGGGATAAATAAAATTTAAAAAGGCAAAGCACAGACCAATGAGGATAATGTTTCATACACTAAGGCTGATTAATTCAATTCTACACAAGTGAGACTCATTAAAAATGATCCAGGCTGTTCATTCTTTTAAACGGTTCCTTTCTGTTGCATGAAATGGACACACCATAGTTTATATAATCATACAACATTTATGAGAATTTTGATTCTTATTTGGGTGGATAAGGTAAAGAAAATGTAAGTAATAGTTGACGTTCTTAAATCTTCAGCTGGAAAGTGGTTTAAGGGTGTTGATAAGTAAGTAAAATGAATGAATGAACAAATTAATGAATAAAACAAGAGGGCGTACATGGGCCGATAATGATTCATTATTCCAGAATTAAAATTATTCTAATTGTGTACATTCCAGGTCCATTTAAAGTATGTGTTGGTTAAGGAGCAGGTATTCATTATTCCTGTTTTTACGTGGTGGTGTGTTGCATGTTCATTTCAGTGCTAAAAAAATTAGTAAATGTGTAAAGTACAAAGAAGCCAAAACGGAGACTGGTGATGAGAATGACCCAAAGATTAGAGGATTACAGTTAATTTAGTTCTGTGCTCTTGACTGCCATAAAAATAGTATGTTTCATTCCTTTTACCAGATATTTTGTATTTCACGGTGTATATGTACCTCATTTATTTAAACATCCTTCCATGGAGAAAGATCTAGCTTATTAACTCACTGAGCAAGGAGCACAAAAGGAGATGAAAGATAATGTCAGTGCTCCACCTGTGGAGTATGAGACTGGGTTTATGGTTGCTAATTAAAACTCCTTTAGAAATGATCGACGCAAACCAGAGAGAATCAGCATAGACCAATGATTAAGAATTATAATTAATTCCCTCTAGCTTCATTAGAAACAGTTCTAGACTATTACCTAAGGGTAAAGAATGTATGTTAGTGCTGTCCAATAGAAATTTCTGCACTGATGGACATGGTCTGTAATTTGTTCTGTTCAATATGGTAGCCATTAGTTACATGTGACTAAAGAGCACTTAAAATGTGGCCGGCGTTCATGGGACCTGAATTTTTAATTTTACTTTATTTTTATTAATTTGAATTTAAATAGTCATATGTGGATCATGGCTACTCTATTAGTTGCATTGGATGGTTGGTTAATGAGAGCTTCTTGACTATTAGGTATGAATAATTAAATATATAAATTAATAAAGAGGGTTGATTATGGGCCAGAGATGAGAATATACCATGAGAAAAAGATTATAATTAATCCAGTTCTGCACAACTGAGATTCACTGGCAAAAAAGTCTTTGGTTCATGAAAAATAGACATAGGCTTATTCATTTATTTTATCAACTAGGAAGTATTACTTTGAATGTGTGCCCCATAGTTTATGTGAACATTTCTCTAATATTGAAGATCTACGTATTTTGGTGAGAGAAGATCAAAAATTTACTGTCAAAGTTGTAGCTGGTGAGTTGAATAGAGGTTCTGTAGATATTCAGTATATTATTATTTATTTCAAAAAATGAATAATAAATAATAGAGGGTCCATGTGTGGTGCAAGGAAGACAGTATGACATGTACCGACATTTGTGATTAATACATAAATAATAACTGTGGTCCATAAATAAAACATCTCTTTTACATTTTTTGGTGAGGAACATAGAGACATATGTACCTAATTGTCAATATACGTATAGGACTAAGCAAGGACCAATGAAGAAAGTATATCACGAACCAAATTTTTATATTAATACATTTCTGAACAACTGAAACTCATTTTATAAAGGTCTTTGTTTCTCTCCATTTATGGGTAAGAACTACAAAGATTTATCTACCTATCCTTTATATCTATACATATTATGTATACCTATATCATAGATATGGATACAAATTATAGTTTTTCTTAGGTTTGATGGTACATTCATGGTGATTTCATTGACTATACTATAAAAAAACCAATACATGAATAAATTCTTAAAAATAAGAGGAAGGAAATGTATGAGTTAGTTATTGTTGTGGCAGTGCTGCATAACAAGTAACCCACAATTTCATTGACTTAAAAAACAGCAATTATTACAACAATTACAATATTTATTTCTCACATATGGATCTGTGGGTATCTTGCAGCAGTTGTGCTCCAGGCTGTGGGTTGGGTTCACATCTGCCCAACTTGCCTTCTTTTTCAAGGTTCTTAGATAAAGGAGTTGTAGTGTCTGGGCCATGCTCTTCTCACAGTGAAAGCCTGAAGCTCCAGAGCGCAAGCAAAACCACCCCTGCACATTTAAAGACTTTGCTTTGACGTGGTTTAGGTCATATCTACTCATACTCCATTGGGCAATGCAAGTCATACGGCACAGCATCAGTGGTGTGGGGAAGGACAGTCTTCCTATAGAGGATAGGGAAGGGAGAGGGAATATTTGCTGAAAAATGACATAACTTACCCCATTTCTCCCAACTGGTGAGAAATGTTTACTTCATGTTCCTACATGAAATACAATCATTCTCTCTTCAAAACATCCCAGAAGTCCGTGAAACCAGTGCTTTAGTTTGTAATCCAGAGCGTCTTGATTCACTTCTGGTTTGGATGTGACTCTTCTTTATTCAGAGACTTATAAATAAGAGATGGGTTATCTGTCCCCACATGGTAAACATACTGTGTTGGAAACACCCCCACTTGCAAAGGGAGAAAATGGGAGGCACAAAGCAGTTCATTCCAAGTCTGCTGGGCCAAAGATGTGAGCTTTCCTACCTGCAGCTGTCACCTGTATAGGAGGAAGAACAAAGGTGGATGTTGGCAATGGCCGCCATTCGTATCCTTCTTGTAGGTGATCAGTTCAATGATGTTCATTGATATAAACGTTGAGAGTCATTAATTAAGTTAAAAAATGGACTATTGTTTGTGGTCAAAGGGGAGAAGGAGGGCCAAGCACGAGGCAAGGGTCATGGTTAATTCAGTATTTCACAACTAACATTCATTTAAAAAGTTTACATCGAATACTGTTCACTTTTTTTTATGCCTGATTTCTGTTCTACAGAATGAGCGCACTAGAGCTGATCAGCCATCCTTAACTGATGAAGGGCTTACCTCTGTGGGTAAGGAGCATGGAGGCCGATGTAAGTGACAGTCAGAGTCCTTGTTCTTGGTTTGGATGGTTTGCTCATGGACGTTGACTGTATTACTTAAAAGAAACAAATGGCTTCATTCATCACTTGTTAATATAATAGTAGACCACGCATGAACCAGTGTTTAGAGTGCGATATGAACCAAGAATCGTGATGAATCTAATTCAACACAACTTAATTCCATTAAAAATACACCAAGGCCATTTAATTTATGTTATTGGCATTTGACTAGTCCATACTCATGTTATATCCACTGTGACTTTGACTTAGACATTCCCCACTGACAAGTATCTATGCTGATAACTGGTTGAGACGGTAGCACGTAGGAAGGTGGAGAGATATTATCAGTGCTCTATTGTGGAAGAAGATGGTAGGCTCAGAAGAGTTCGCTGTGTCATCTTTGAAATATAGACAAATTAAAAGTAAGAGGGCTAAGAACAGGCCAATGATGAGTGGGGAATTGCTATGTAGCAAGAATGTTGATTGATTCATATGTTATTGATCATTATAGAAAGACATCTAGTGTACTATTTCTGTGGGAAATTAGCCTATGGACAAGTGCTGTTCAATACAATGACCACTAGCCGCAGGTGGGTACTGAGCACATGGCTAGGCTGAACCAAGATGTGACCTATGTGGAAAACACACACCAAATTCAGAAAAGTCAGTACCAAAAAGTGTAAAATACTTCTCTATTTTAAAAAAATATTTATTTATTATTTTTGGCTGTGTTGGGTCTTTGTTGCTGTGCCTGGGCTTTCTCTAGTTGTCTAGGCATGCGTGCTTCAGTAATTGTGACTCGCGGGCTCTAGAGCTCAAGCTCAGTAGTTGTGGTGCACGGGCTTAGCTGCTCTGCGGCATGGCGGATCTTCCCGGACCAGGGCTCGAACCCGTGTCCCCTGCATTGGCAGGTGGATTCTTAACCACTGCGCCACCAGGGAAGCCCATAAAATATTTCTTTAATAAGTTATTTATACCGATTACTTGTTGAAATGATAGTATTTTAGATCTACTGGATTAAATAAAATATAAAGTTATAATTGATTTCACCTGTTTCTTTTTAAAAATATAGATTCTAGAAAACTTAAAATATATGGGAGGCTTGCATTATATTTTTATTGGCCAGCACTGCTATAGACTAATGAGAGGGATACTCAAGGATCTTTTCCTTTATGTTTTTCTGACCCATGGGTATTGATTGTATTATTATTAGTCAACTAATGGACCAATTAATGAAAATTGGATAAATGAATGAGAAAAATGGGAAAAAGCACACACTAAATATTAAAGTGTGTATTGACACAAGGATTATTTTAAATAAAGCACTGAAGCTCATAAAAACAATGTAAAGTGGTTAATCCGTCTGGGTAATGAACATAGGAACAGATGTGGGTAGTAATCAGTGCTGTTGGATTGGATTGGTGGTGTGTTGCTAGTCTTAAATTTTTAAATTAATTTATTATTATTTTTTTAAAGAAAGTGACATGGACAAATAGCTGATTAATTAACCAACTAAATAGAAGAGGGTCGAGCATGGCAAGTGTCAAATGAAGGCAGCATAGTGATAATGGTATTGGTCAATCCTTTTGGCACCACTGATATCCACGGCAAAAAAAATCCAGTCTCAGCTCTGTGGGAAATGAGCCTCTAGTCAGTGATTAGGAAGTTCGCCAGGTCTTAATCTTAGACTTTGAGTCTCCCGAGTATTGATTATGTTATTACTGTTTAAGTGAATCAATGCATAAATTAAACAAGTGTATAAATGAATGAAAAAAGAGGGCAAAGCATGGACCAATGATGCAAGAACTATTACTAATATGTTTGTGAAGCACTAAAGTCCATTAAAAAAGGCACTGACATTCCTTTTTTAAACAAGGGGAGATATTTACATAAATAAGAAAATTAAAGAGGGCCAGTGTTGAGATTGTGTCAGATGATAAGAATTACGATTAATCCAGTTTATTCACTGAGTTCATTAAACAACAACAAAGATCTAGTTTGTTATCTCTGTAGGAAATGAACAGGTTGACAGATATTAGGTTTTTTTTTTTAGCATCTTTATTGGAGTATAATTGCTTTACAATGGTGTGTTAGTTTCTGCTTTATAACAAAGTGAATCAGTTATACATATACATATGTTCCCATATCTCTTCCCTCTTGCGTCTCCCTCCCTCCCACCCTCCCTATCCCACCCCTCCAGGCGGTCACAAAGCACCGAGCTGATCTCCCTGTGCTATGCGGCTGCTTCCCACTAGCTATCTATTTTACGGTTGGTAGTGTATATATGTCCATGCCACTCTCTCACTTTGTCCCAGCTTACCCTTCCCCCTCCCCATATCCTCAAGTCCATTCTCTAGTAGGTCTGTGTCTTTGTTTTTTTTTGGTCTGTGTCTTTATTCCCGTCTTACCCCTAGGTTCTTCATGACCTTTTTTTTTTTTTCTTAAATTCCATATATATGTGTTAGCATATGGTATTTGTTCTTCTCCTTCTGACTTACTTCACTCTGTATGACAGACTCTAGGTCCATCCACCTCACTACAAATAACTCAATTTCGTTTCTTTTTTTCAGAGTTTTTGATCAGTTTCTTTGGATTCCAAGCTATGGATTGTAAGGGAATGAATGAATACATTTGTGTCACAGTCAGTTGTTTAAAAGGGTGCAAATCATGGACCAGTGATGAACACTTTTAAGTTATAAAGCAAGTACATCCTTCACTGCTGGTGTCCATGTAAAGAATATGAAGTCTAGGCTCCAACCTGTTTGTTTAAGGTTCACAGATAAATTCATGTTATAACGTTTCAGTTTGGGCTGCTTGTGGGCTTCCTATTTTTTAAGTTAAGTATAGTTGATTTACTGTATTATTTTCAGCTCTACAGCGTAGTGATTCAGTATTTTTGCAGATTATACTCCATTATAAATTATTACAAGATAGTGGGTATAATTCCCTGTGCTATACAATATATCCACAAGTTTGTTTTCTATTATCTGTTTCTGTTTTGCATGTGCATTCATTTGTATTATTTTTTAGATTCCACACATAGGTTATATAGTGTTTGTCTTTCTATGTCTGACATATTTCACTAAGCATAATATTCTCTAGGTCCATCCACGTTGCTGCAAATGGCAGAAATTCATTCTTTTTTATTGCTGAGTGATATTCCATTGTGTGTATATGTGTGTGTGTGTGTGTATAATTTTGTTTATCCATGTGTCTCTTAATGGGCACTTAGGTTGCTTCCATGTCTTGGCCATTGTAAATAGGGCCGCTATGAACATTGGGGTGCATATATCTTTTTCAGTTAGTGTTTTCATTTTTTCCAGATATATCTCAGGAGTGGAATTGTTGGATGATATGGTAGTTCTATTTTTAGTTTTTTAAGGAATCTTCATACTGTTTTCCATAGTGGCTGCACCAGTTTGCATTCCCATCACCTCCTCTCTAACATTTGTTTTTGTAGACTTTTTGATAATAGCTATTCTGACAGGTGATACCTCATTGTGGTTTTGATTTGCGTTTCTCTAATGGCGTTATGAGCATCTTTTCATATGCCTGTTGGCCATCTTTGTTTCTTCTTCAATTTTTAAAATTAATTAATTAATTAATTGGCCATGCCCTGTGGCATGTGGCATCTTAGTTATCTGACCGGGGATCGAACCCATGCCCGCTGCGTTGGAAGCTCGGAGTCTTAACCGCTGGCCCGCCAGGGAAGTCCCAGATTAACCTAAGATTGAACAAGTGAGGTCCACTTAAAAAAAAAAAAAAAGATAAAAGAGGTTGCTTCCTTCATTTTACAGTTGTTTACTATTTTTCTTTATTTATTTATTTACCACTGTTGATTTACACATTCGTCAGGGATAAAGATTTAGGTTTCTAATCTATCGAGAGGCAAAACACAAGGAAAGCTGGAAAATTGTTAGTGAAGTAAAATGAGATGTTCCTGGATTGTTTTGTTGCACATTTAAAATTTGAACAAATTAAAGGAAGATTAAAGGACCAAGAATGGCCCTGATGAGTTTGGGTTTGCGTGAAGACTGTTGATTGATCCATATGTGCTATAATGGGGTCCATTGTAGAAAGAGCGTATTAGTTCTGAGAGAAATGAGCAAAAGCCAGAAGGTGGTAATGTTCTTAGATCTTATTCTTGCTTTGTGGTGATTAATGGATATTGATTAATGATTAGTCAATCAATGAATGAATTAATAAACAAATGTATAAATGAATAAAGAAAAAAGGCCCAAGCCTAGATCACTGATGAGCACTCTGAGGTGTCCAAACCAAGGATTTTGATTAAACCCCATAACTCGGAGGTCCATTATAAAAACAAACCTAATTTCCTGCCGTGGTGGGACATGAACTTGTAGCTGAAGTTAGGAATGCAGGCACCTTGCTCTTAGCTTTGATAGATCTTAGGTATAGATCCTTTTATTAGTGAATCAGTAATGAGTAAATAAATAAATGCATTATTTAATGAAGGCAAAGAGGGCAAGATAACCACCGACAATGAGAGTATCTGATGAAAACCAGATTATTCTTAAAACATTTGTGAGCAGTTGAGTTCTAATAAATGAAGGGTCCAAGGCATTTAACATGTTGATCAGGAACCTATGGGCAACTCTATGTAAGAGTCAGTGTTGTTTCTGGGTTGGTGGTTGTTAATTTTATTAAGAAAGGGGGGAAAAGGGAAACGTAATAATCGATTACAGAACTACTTAATTAAAGAAGATCAAGCATGGGCCAATATTAAGAATTCATGACATGAGAGGAGTTATGATTAAATCAGTTTGTCTCAACCAGTATCATTTTTGAAAAACACATCTAGTTGTTATTCTGTGGGTACTGAGTTTTTATAAATTTATTTATGACTGCATTGGGTCTTCATTGCTGCGCGCCGGCTTTCTCTAGTTGTGGCGAGCGGGGCTACTCTTCGTTGCAGTGCGTGGGCTTCTCATGGCTTTGGCTTCTCTTGTTGTGGAACATGGACTCTAGGTGCGCGAGCTTCAGCAGTTGTGTCACGTGAGCTCAGTATTTGTGGTGCACGGGCTTAGTTGCTCTGCAGCATGTGGGATCTTCCTGGACCAGGGCTCGAACCTGTGCCCCCTGCATTGGCAGGTGGATTCTTAACCACTGCGCCACCGGGGAAGTCCGTGGGTATTGAGTTCATGGGCAGATGTTAGTGTTATTTAGGATCCTTACCTGAGGTATGTAAGTGATATTATTGTTAGTGAATGAAGGAAGAGGTTATTTAAAAGAGGGCAAACATGGACCAATGAGTATATTGTGTCATTAAAAATGGTTTATTAATCTCACTGTACTCTCCGGCCATGCGTATAAATAAAAGGGGACTGAGCTATGCCCACTTTGGGTAAAGAGCCATAGAGATAGTTACCTATAATAGTATTTTAGACCATTTTGCATTTGCTTTGAAAAAATGAACAAGTTATTCCATGAGTAAATAAATAAAAAAGAAACAAATATATGAATAAAGTCATAAAGTAGGGTCAAACATGGTGAGAGTATATCAAGAAACAATGATGTAAATTCACCTCATTCTAATCAAGGAAGACCTATAAAGAAGGTAATATGGGCTCTTACCTATGTGAGTAAGGTTTAATAGAAAGAACTTGGAACAGGCATAGTTCTTAATTATTCTACTAGGATGTAAATTTAGCAGTTGTCATCATATTATGTACATTAATAATTAAAAAATAAATAAAAAGAGGGCCATTCTTGGGCTAATTGAGTGTGATGAAAACAGGGTTTTATGATAAATCTGTTACAGTAAGACTAAGGTCTCTTAAAAAAAATCTACACTGCCTCTTCAGTTTTCTAAAATCTGTTTTTTACTGCACAGATTCAATATACCCCAATCTGATTTATTCATTACCAATGATGAAGATCTCGGCTGTCACTTCTGTGGATAAAAAGCAAAGGGACTCATGTAAGTAAAAAAGTTTGTGTTCTTGGTTTGAAGGTAATTCACGTGGTCCATGGAATTGTTTCAAAGGAATGAGTGGCTACTGCAGACATAAAATCAAAAGATGTCACATATGGACCACTGCTGAGAAAGTGTAATGAACCATGGGTTAAGACTGATCCATTTTAGTGAAACTGAGATCCATTAAAAACAAAGTTGGGGGCTTCCCTGGTGGCGCAGTGGCTGAGAGTCCGGCTGCCGATGCAGGGGACACGGGTTCGTGCCCCGGTCCGGGAGGATCCCACATGCTGCGGAGCGGCTGGGCCCGTGAGCCATGGCCGCTGAGCCTGTGCATCGGGGGCCTGTGCTCCGCAGCGGGAGAGGCCACAACAGTGAGAGGCCCGCGTACCGCAAAAAAAAAAAACAAAGTTGGAGTGTTTTGCATTCATTTTCACAGTTGCTTAATATTCCATTTTATTTTTGCACAACATTTTAAGAATATTTTTCAGCTGATAACAGTCTAGATTGTTAAATCATGGAGGAGGGGGCACCTAGAAAGATAGAAAGTATTGTCAGTGCTCTAGTTGTGGGGTAAGATAGTAGGTTCATTGTAGTACTTTTAAAATATGAAGAAATTAGATGAAAGATGAGTAAGCAGGGAGTAGTAAAACTACATGCCCATGGGATGGGCATGATGCCAGGTTATTGATTAATCTATATGTGAAACACTGAGAGCCAATTGAAAATAGACCTCATTTGCTGGCTCTGTGGGGAATAAATAGCTGTAACAGCTCTGCAATATTCAAAGATCTTGCTCTTGGGTTTTTGTGATTCACGGGAGTCATTTTTTTTTTAGCTCAATGAAACCATGAATGAAATAATCAGTAACTAATGAATGCATAAACAATCCATAAACAAGAGCTTGGATCAATGATGAGAGTTCTGGGGTATATGAATCAAGAATTTTGATTAAACCCTAACTCTGAGGTCCATTAGAAAAAGACTTAGTTTTTCCCTCTAGGGGAATAGAGTTCAGAGCCAGTTGGGGATCTGTTCTTAGGTCTTAGTTGTTCCTGGTTATGGTGTGTATTGACGTAAATGAATCAATGAGTGCATGAATGAATAAATGAATAAATGTGTAAGTGAATGAAGACAAAACAGGTTACACACGAGTGTCCATGGTGGCATTCTGGGTTGGTGGGAGGATGATCTAGTCATGTATTTCTGTGGGTAATCAGCCCGTGGGCAATTGTTAGCATTTTTGGTGTTCAAATATAGATTCTCAGGTAATTATTTATGGTTATAAGTTATTGAATTAATACGATTGTATCTCAAATGATTATTTAAAAAAGGGCAGACTATGAACAAATATGGAGCATGTGATGTGAAGTAAGGTTAATGACTAATCCTGGTCAGATTATTCCATTGAAAATTAAATAAATAAATGAAAGGATTTGTACAGTCGTAAAGTAAGGTAAAGCTAGGATTGTTTGTGAGAATGTGCCGTGATGCTAGATTTAAAATTTATCCAATTCTGCGCAAGGTTCGTGAAAATAATTGGTAGGCTATTAGCTAAGGGCAGGGAGTATACAGTCATGCGCCGTAATGTTGAAAAACCTTATCCTGGAGCTAGGTGTTGGATTCAATGATGCTTGTTGCTACACAGCTTAAAATTAAAAATAGAATAAGTCGATAAATTAAACAGGATTGCAGCTTTTGCACCAATAATGAGAATGTGATATGCTCCAAGTTTATGACTAATCTGGCAGTGCAGAGCTCACATCCATTTAAAAACATCTAATATAGACTATTCAGAATTGGCTCTTTCCTTTACTGAATGAGCATACCACAGCCAACTCAATCATTTTCTAATGGCGAATATTTTAGCTGTTGCCTTTGTCAGTAAAGAGCACAGAGACCAATATAAATAACTGTTAAAGTTCATGTTCTTAATTTGGGGAGCTTCTTCATGGATTTTTAAGGAGTTATTTTTTAAAAAGTGGTTTTACATATATAAATAAAAGAACACCAAACATCGACCAAGAATGGGAATGTTATGAACCAAGGTTCATGATTAATCATTTTTAGGGCCACATAATATCCCATTTTAGTTTGACCCCCCCAGTATATTTAGAAATCCATTCCTTGATCAAGATCAAGGTCATTTACCTGTTGAGGATGGAGAACATAGGAAGAAAATTACATTGTTTTAGTTGTGAGGGAAGATGGTGGTTCATAGTTTTTATTCTACCATCTTTACAATATGGACAAATTAGGTAAAGAGACAAGCAAAAACCTTTTATCAATATGGCATTGCTATGAAGCACAACTGTTGATCAATCTGTACATGCAACACAGAGGTGCATTGAAAGAAGACATTAAATGTATTAGTTATGTGGGACAAGTGTGAACAGACCTTCCTTAGTAACAATCACTCATCTTGTTCTTGGCATTTATAATTCATGGATATTGATTGTATTATAATTTATGCATGTAAAAATGATCCAGAAAGGAAGATGTGAATGAAGAAGACAAAAAATGCAAAGTCTGGATCCATGATGAGTGTCTTGGGGTGTCGGAATTAAGGATTCTGATTAGACTCTATAGCTCTGAGGTCGTTATAAAAAGAGATCTAGTTATTCACTCTATGGTAAGGGTGCTTGTGGCATAAGAAAGGAATATTCAGGATCCTGTTCTTGGGCTACGTGTTCCTTGGGTATGGATTTTTTTTTTCTTAACATCTCTTTTGGAGTATAATTGCTTTACAATGGTGTGTTAGTTTCTGCTGTATAACAAAGTGCATCAGCTATACATATACATATGTCCCCACTTCTCCTCCCTTTTGCGTCTCCCTCCCACCTTCCCTGTGGATATTTTTTTTATTATAAATGAAACAATGCATGAGTAAAGAAAGACATGAAGGAATGAAGAAAGACAAGGAAAGCCATACACTGTTCAATTATGAGAGTATGTTTTCAAATATTTCTGAAGCACTGAGGTCTAGGAAAATAAATATATCAAGGTTTTACCTCTTTCAGCAGGGAGCAAACAGACAAGTCTGCCCAAGATTGAATGTTGTTATTACGGATTGATGGTGGGTTACTGATCATTTATTTTGTTAAGAAAAGGGCAAAATGTTTGCACAAATAATTAAATATCTAATGGAAAAAAAATCATGGACCAGTGATGAGAATATGTCCTATAACGAGAATTATGATTAATTTAAGATGGTTGACTGTGAGTATATGATCACATGTTAATATTATTGGAAAGTTTTTGTCCGGTGGGTTATAATTAAAATAGTGACATATTATAATTACATATTGCTGTTTGTGAATGAATGGATTCATATTTTCCTTAAAAGATGCAAATCGCACACCAATGAGGAGCTCTATTATGAAATAAGCATAGTGATTATCCTGTTTTACACAGTTGATTTCCATACTTTAAAAAAACTCTAGGCTTTTCCTATTTTGCATAATGTGCACATAGACAGATGCACATAATAGTATTTTGTTTCTGGGTTGCTGCCCAATTTAGCATTTTCTGTTTTCTTTATATAATGAGCAGCTGGTGAACTTACTCCATGAGTAATTAACTGAATGAATGAATGAGTGAGTGAGTGAATGAATACATAAAGAAGAGTCAAGCTTGGGCCGTGAAAAACAAGGATTAAAATTTGTCCAATTTGCACAAGAAAGATTCATTAAAAAGGAAATCTGAGTTAAAGTTCTGACTTGTGGGTTAGATTGTGGATTCAGTGGTGTTCATTATATTGCTTAAAATGAAAATTAAATAATTGAGTAAATAAAAAATAGTGATATTCTTGGGTCAAAGAAATGAAACAAGTTTTAGGTCTAATCTAGAACTCTACAGTTAGTATCCTCTAAAGATACCTAAATTCATGGTTTTTCATTAAAGCCTGCTTTTCACCTCAGAATTAACACACCATAACTGATTTAATCATATCTAATGAAGAAGCATTTGGCTAATACTCCTCTGTTTAAGAAGCATACATACCAAGGTGGGTAACATTCAAAGTTTATGTTCTTGGTTAGGGGAATTTGTTCATTTGTGCTCACTGAAATATTAAAAAAAAATACATGGCTAGATAAAAGTATAAAATTAAAGAAGGCTGTACATTACCAATGACAAGAACAGCTTATGAACCATAGGTAATGATGTTTAATTCACTTCTGCACAACTGATGACTCCTACAAAAAGATGGAAGTGTTTCACACATTTTCAGAGATGTTTGCTACTCTCTTTTATATTTACATGCCAGTTGATATCAACATTTTTCCCTTCAAAAGATCTCAGTGAGAGGAAGGACATATGTCCTACATTGAGGGTCATTGCAAAGAGATCTAGTGTTATTGGCTCTATAGGAAATGAGCATATAGATAGATCATAGTAACATTCAAGGATCTTATGCTCAAGATTCTGTAATTTATATGTAGTGATTGTGTTATTATTGGACTAGTGAATGAATCAATAAACAAAGGGATAAAGGATTGAAGAAAAAGAGTGCTGAGCTTGGACCAATGATGACTCCTAGAGTGGGGGTTAGGTCTGAATCCAAAATTGTAATTCATTCCTATCTCAAAATCTGTGGCCTATTGAGTAAAAAGCAGAAGGTAAACTCCCTGGGAAATGAACTCATGACCGGATAAAGAAATATGTAAATGAATGAAGATAAGGAGGGCCACACAGAGACCAATTATGAAATTATGTAATAAAGGTTACTATTAGCGCCTGTTTGAAGCACGGGGTTCCATAGATGAAGAGATCAAAGCTCTGAACCCTTCCGTAGGGACAGTATAGACAGAGATACCTCAGAGTCCAGGTTGCTGCTTTCATTGCTGGTTTGGTTGTTTTAATTAGAAAAGGAGAAAAAAAAAAGTTACATAAAGAGTTGCTTAAATAATTGTCTTATTGAGAGAGGGCCAAACATGAGCCAATACTGAGACTGTCATAAGATCAGAGTTAGGGTTAATCTAACTCTATTCGCTGAGTCTTATTTT